ATCGATGCCAAAAGTGTTATCTGGATTGGGAAAAACATTGGAGACCATATCCACAGCCATGCTCAACATGGAAAAATCCATCAAGCGACTACAACCGAGCGAAACCTCTGATACAAATGGTGGACCAAAAAAAAAGCGACGTTCAGCTTCCCAAAATATAACAGAAACGGACGGTAACATTAGTGATGCAGAGGGATTGCTTCGAAACAATGAACCCGATGCCGACTCGGCAAATGAGGGTGTAATGAGTGATACACATGTTCGACTCGAACATGACGCTCTCCTGACAGAAATCTCTCAGGATTTGGAACAAGAAGAGGAGGTTGGAGGCAATATAAATCAGCAACTTGCTGATATTGTCAACAAAAGATGGTCCACGAAGCTTATTGACGCAAAACAGAGGGAAAAAATGGATAAATAGCCTCGACCAGGGAATTGTGAAAAAATTGTTGTCCCTCGCGTCAATGCAGAAATATGGGACAAGCTTGATAATAAAACTAAGCATAATGACCTTCGTGCTTCTACCACACAAAAAATGCTAGCCAAAGTCGGCTCGATACTTTCAATGACGACTGACAAATTATTGCAAATGCGTCATGATGATTCGCCTGATATTGCCCAGATTATTACGATGAATACCGACGCTTTGGCGTTATTAGGGCACACCATGTGCGACCTCTCGATGCGTCGACGCGACGCTATCAAACCAAATCTCCATAAAGATTATAATAGCCTCTGTGCTTCACATGTGCCAATCACAACGTATTTGTTTGGAGATAACCTCCAAACATAGCTCAATGACATCTGAGCTTCCAACAAAATTAGTAAAGTAACAGTGCCACATCGGTTTGATAAATCCAAACCATATGGCTGCCACTGGGGTGCTACTAACTCCAGCTCTGGAAGTAAGGCAACAAGGGGGCATTTTTTATCCCACAGCCGGCAGTGGAAACAGCACCCACCAAGATCCAGTTTTCAAACCAAGAAGAACCCAGCACCCAAGCATCAACAGAACCAATGACTATGGAGAAAGAAAGCAAGGTGACAGTTTTAAAAAATTTACAGGTTAGTAATTTTCAGACAGACCTTCCATCATTGGTGGAATATTTTACTAGCCGAGTAGATAACTTTCAGGCTGGCCAATTAAGTCACAAACTTTGTGAGTGGCGCAAACTCACTTCTGATTCAGAAGTTTTACAGACAGTCATCGGGGAAGAAATAGAATTTTCTTCTTTACCTTATCAACTTAAGGCACCAAAAGTGAACATATTTTCCAGAGCTGAGCAACTTGTGATTGAACTGGAAATTAAAAAGCTTTTAAACAAAGGTGTTATTGTTCATTCTGTACATGAAGAGCATGAATTCATCTCCCCAATCTTTGTAAGACCCAAACCTGATGGGTCATACAGGATGATTTTAAATCTAAAAAGTTTGAATAAACATGTAGTTTACCAGCATTTCAAAATGGATTCCATTTGGAATGCCATTAGGCTTATGAAGCCTCAGTGCTATATGGCATCTGTAGATCTAAAAGACGCCTACTATTCAGTGCGTGTAAGTGCCAAGCACCAAAAATATTTAAAATTCTGCTGGAATGGGGTATTATATAAATTTACTTGCTTCCCCAATGGGCTAGCTCTTGCCCCTAGAAAGTTTACAAAGTTATTAAAACCAGTATACTCATTCTTAAGAAACAAGGGACATATTTCATCACCATATATTGATAATGATTCCATCTTGATTGGTAGTCAATGTCATTGACACAGTAACAGTGTTAGACAAATTGAATTTTGTGCCTCATCCTGATAAATCAGTGTTTTTGCCAAAGCAAATAATTGTGTATCTTGGGTTCATTCTCAATTCTATAACAATGACTGTCTCACTAACACCAGAAAAGGCAAAGAAGTTGAAGTCGGCAGTCATTTGCCTTCTTTCTCAGGATATGCCTCTTATAAGAGAGGTTGCTCAAGTTATTAGTCTGTTAATCTCTACCTTTCCAGGGGTTATGCACGGACCCCTTCATTTTAGAATTACAGAGGGCGAAAAAGCTCAGGCCCTAAAACTAAATCACAATAATTTTGACACACAAATGCAGTTATCCAACAATGCAAAATCTGAACTGCATTGGTGGGCAGATAATATAGAAACAGCAAACAATCTGATCTATAAACCAGAACCAAATGTGACTATGTGCACTGATGCCGTATACCTGGTAAAGATAATGTTGACGCAGACTACGAGTCTCGACAAACTAGGCGTACCACGGAGTGGTGCCTAGACAAAGACATGTTTCACAATGCTTGCGCAAAGCTTAATTTTAAGCCAAACATTGACCTTTTCGCATCGCGTATAAATTACCAAGTTAAGCCCTACATGTCATACACTGCTGATCCTGAAGCAATAGCAGTTGACGCTTTTCACCACTCATGGGTTGAATATGATTTTTATGCTTTTCCACCATTCTTTTAATTAGCCAGGTCCTACAAAAGATCCAAAAGGAAGAATCCCAGGGCCTAGTTGTTATACCCAAATGGCCAACCCAATCTTGGTGGCCAGTGGCAATCCGAATGCTGATACAGTCACCCATCATACTTCCCAGCACAACATCAACATTGCACCTCCCAAGCAACCCATTGGAGAAACACCCTCTCCACGAGAAACTAATCCTATTTGTGTGTCACTTATCAGGGAACAGTTTGAAAACAGAGGCCTTTCGAAAACAGCTAAAGAAGTCCTTGAAGCAGCATGGAGAACAGGTACGCCAAAACAATATGAAGGATACTTGGGAAAATGGAAACAATATTGTAGTGAACAGAATATCAATCTCTTTGCACCCACTGTTGAAGAAGGGATAAATTTTCTCGCAGACTTGTTTAAAAAGGGCCTTGGTTACAGTGCATTGAATACAGCACGTAGTGCTCTGTCCTCTATCATACTTTTATCAAATAACACCAACTTTGGAACACACCCGATAGTTTGTCGTTTCATGAAAGGGGTATTTGAAAGTCGACCATCCTTACCAAGGCACAATGATATTTGGGATGTTCGAATAGTATTAGACTACCTACGAACTCTTCAGCCAACCAGAAATTTAACCCTCAAAACGTTGACGCTAAAACTGGTCATGATTCTTGCTCTTACTTCGGCACAGAGGTGTCAAACTCTTAAAGCCTTGTCCCTTGACAGTATGTCGTGCGCAGACGGGAAATATGTGTGCCATTTTGAAAGACTGTTAAAAACATCTAGGCCCGGAAAACACCTGGCGCCCCTAATGGTTAAACCATATCAGCCAGATCCCACGCTTTGCCCATTCAAGCTTCTAACAGAGTATATCGAAAGAACCCGGAGTTTAAGAGGAAACTCCCGACAGTTGTTGATTAGCTTCCAAAAACCACATAAAGAAGTGAGCACGGACACCATCTCGAGATGGCTGAAAACAGTTCTAAAACTGGCCGGAATAAATGATTTTTGTGGTCACAGTACAAGAGCGGCATCGTCGTCAGCCGCAACTAACACATCTATTTCTATTGATACAATATTGGAAGCAGCTGGGTGGTCTAACGCTCAAACTTTTCAAAAATATTATAACAAACCATTACGGTTGGAAGAGGACTTTGGTTCATCGTTATTGCAAGCTTTCACAAGTTAATTATGCATTCTAGTAAAATTGGAATAAAGTTACTTCGTCGTTTGAGTTCTGTGGTAAATTGTTATCACTCGTGATTACAACACTTTGAACATCTCACATGACTCCTTAGTGACGTAGTCCAAGGACGAAATAGAATTTAAAATTAAACAAGACTTACCGTAAGTTGAAGTTTGATTGTAATTCTATGAGTTCTTGGACACGGAAACTAAGGAGTCACCCGCCCATATTACACAATTCGTGTTTGGGTATATTGAGCTTGTTCCCTCCCTTTGAAGGTACTGTTGTAATCTCTCGTTGCGTTAAAAACTGACTGCTCGATCTGCGTGCGCATATCTCACATGACTCCTTAGTTTCCGTGTCCAAGAACTCATAGAATTACAATCAAACTTCAACTTACGGTAAGTCTCGTTTAATTCTAAATTTTAAAAAATAAATAACTTTAATTTTTCAGAATTTCCTCACTAAATATCCTCACGATGTACAATCACTGCAGTCATTTATCCTGGTTCTCCCTACTAATAGCATAAAGAGCAAAAAAATCAGTCCTAATTTACAATTGAATTAGAACTATGGTGAGAAACAAACGTGCTTTCATATAAAAGTAAAAAAAAACACTTTGGAAAAACAACCCCCCGGCGAAGTCATACGTAATGAAGGAAATAATTCGGTTTTGTCGAGGATCTTATTTCCGATGAGTTGATTTTTATTCAGAGATCAGATGGGGCCAGTTGTATCAAGCCCGTTTAGCTTAAACGGTGGATAAGTTCAAACCTACAACCGGCCCCTGGTCGTTATCATTTTTGCGTCACGACACTATCAAGCGAAAATATATAGATCAGCGGCTGAGCTAAAGCGAATAAGCGCTCCAGTCAGTGACACCAGTAGAAAACTACCCATTTTCATACTCTCTATATAGAAGCCTGATTCCAATAAAGCGCCTGCGCACTCAGCTAACGCACAAGGCGTAAAGGGATAATATAATAATACTGATCTGATACAATTGGATAATTTTACATTCGTATTAAATTCGCCGTCAAACCGAAACAGGACAATCACAACAATCGCACTAGCGTTTCACATTTGAAACGACGTTGTTTTCAGATTTCGCCTAAATAAATTTTGTTTTGAATTTGTGTTGTTTCCAAGACATTTTTGCCGGTTTAGGCCGAAACATAAAAAACTTAACCAGTGTAGTATAAACATGGTTTTATGGAATTTATGCGGCCAAAAACCTTCGCAAATTTCCAAGTCGATGCTCAAATCAAGTCATCGCCTCATCGGATTGGTCGATATGATCACGTGACAGCTCCAACTTCCGCTGAATATATTTAATACCAAAACAACATGAAATGTTTCAAATGTATTCTATAACTTAAATAAGTTTCGTCTTTTAATAAATATGGCTTAGTTTACACAGAGCATAGGAAACGTCCAGCAATATGTCGGCTACCACGTCAAATCCTAGTGGCTCGCATGAACGCTTCTCACCTCACACGCTCGAGAAAGCGGCGAAGACGAAGGTCTCTCTTCAGTCGTTCTACTCTAATCTTCTAGCACAGCATAAGGACAGAAAGTCAAGGTATTTTAATGAATTTCGTCAGAGAACATCGTTTCTACCGTTCCCACGGTCTAGCGGGAGATTATGTGCATCGCTTTATTCCCGTATATTTAATTTTTATAGACTATGTTGTCTCGAAGCGGCAATGGAAGAGCAAGGTTTAACCGCTCAAGAGGTATATATGTATTAATATACGCAAACAAATTGTCTCGCTGAGGTAATTTATCCACATGATTGCCAATTTCACGATGACATTAACATATAATGGTTTAAATAAGGCGTATATCTCTGTAAAAAACTTAATACTCAAGTGTCGTACACTTTAATGCTGTAAAAACATTCGGTTCCTGACGTAAGATTCAACATGGCTTTTTAGTGAATTATTATTTTCCATGGTTGCTACGTGCTTGCAAATATTATGCAACAAATATGACCTGCTAATCGAAAGTATTATCGTTTGTGGTCAGGAAGGCAGTTCTGAAGTGCAGCTTACACAGTACTTATTCATTAAGAACCTATTACTTTATTGGATTTCAATTACAAATAGATAATAAAATATGCAAAGAATAATTTGTTCAAATTTATTTAAGACTTGTTCGATTCCCTTAAGTGGCTGTTTACATTAAGTTTTCATGTTCTGTTGAATTCCCCCTGTGTTTAGATGGAAATCTCATCTCTCTTATTCAATTGAGAGACACTAAAATTTAGCTTAATTCTGGCATGCCATATATTATATATCTTATGATAAAGACCAAGGTCATATTATGTTAAGAAAGTATAAAATGAGCTCAACAGACAGCTAATATAGTTTAAGAGCTATCTGCATTAACAAATTAATTGCTTGAAAACTTGAGTTTATGCTGCAGATCTGGATCAAGCTTTTACTCAACCCCACCATGAGAGCTGGCATATATTTTGTTCTGTTCACTTTTCCAACAAGTTCTTTTGGTGTAATTACACATTTTTTACACTACAAATCATTAGCATAGCAAGTGTGAAAATTGCATTCTATGTCTATACATGATAATGTAACTATAGACTCCAGACTTTAAAAAGAAAGTCCCGGCCATACATGTTAACATTCCTCTATACATACTCATCATTAAAAGCTGCACGTGATATAATCAAAAGATTACACAAAGATTACACATGTGTTAACATATACCTAAATTATGTCAAAGACAGGATATATAAGGCTGTATGTGATAAAATTATCAGGCAGATTTTGTATGCATCCCTTTGTGTAATTACATTACTTGAAATTTGTAGAAAATGTATTTTAAAATATATATATTTATATTGAGTACGAAAAGCTGCAATATTATCACAGCTAGATAGCCAAACAACCAGGTTTTTAATATTAAAATAAAATTAATTAAAAACTCATGCCAGTTTACATCTATCTTGACCTTGCACTGCAGTTCCAAGCACCTCCCATACCATATATAGTATTAAAAATTAGATAGATTACTGCAAACATTAGCTATGTTCCACTCATACTGTTAGCCTGGAAAAAAATGATCTGATCTTGACAGCATGGTAGGTACATTATAACTAAAGCTTACAGTACTTATTGTTTTATTCTTAATCAAAATGTTGTGTTCTCTATTTTCTAATATAAAACATTATTCAATCTGCTCAAACCATTGATATAATACTCTAATCCTGTGCATACTAGGCATGTTATTGGCATGTAATATCTTATATTATATTATAATTGGCAGTATCAATGCACTTCAACATTTTGTCTCATATAATTTATACAACTTGTTAGGTATTTTGACTGGAATGCCCAGGCCATGTTTTGTAATATAAATACACTGTAGTGAGCTTTGAATATATCATTTCAACATATTTTTGGCAACCAGAGAGAGGAAAGGAGGATGCTACATGCACAAAAAGAAACAGAATTTCTCCGACTTAAGAGGTCAAGACTTGGCGTTGATGATTTTGATTCACTTAAGGTGATTGGAAGAGGGGCATTTGGTGAGGTGAGTGTCAATGAAACATGGAGAAGTACCATGCACAAGAGTACCATGTACATTTAATTTTAGTAGGAATGTACATAATTTAGTAGAGCATCATTTATGAGATCTCAGCCCAGATTTTAGCTTTAGAATTTAATTGGCTTTTATTTCACTGGTAATATGGTATCTCTGGAAATCAAATCATGCCTGCAGCAGTCAGCTTCAATATAGGATGCTATAGCAAAAGGTTTCAATCTCAGATTCCAGAGAATTTTATTACCACTACCCGGCATAATATTATCCTGCAATACAGCAATAGCCAGCTTAATGTGAAAAACCCAAATCAATTTGTTAGCCGGATATAGGCCATGTTGAAACTGTAAACTTCAATGTTGTTAGTTTCATTATTTGTTGGCAGCATACAGCATAATATTACAGCAACAGTATACAGCAATATAGCTGTGTAGCGCAATATCATAATATATGTATGATATATTATGTTGACTATTTTACAGTCAGTATGGGGTCAATAACCCAGTTACAACCCACTGGCATTGATATAGAAGACATGAATATAATAACTGTCCAGGTTTACAATGCAATACACTTTGTATTGCAGTGGGTGGGCAACATTTATGAAATGGAGAAACACCCTTACCTGTATTTATCAAAGCTGAAGCAACTTTTTTCCCATGAGGCTCAACATGAAATTGTCATACCACAGATGAGTCAAACGCCACATCCCAATACCTCGTGGTTTTAAATCTAATTTCCCCATGCAGTCCAGCGTTGTCTTTCTATATTTGTTATTTATTGGCCTTGACCTTTATAAAGAAGGAATATTCGCAAAATAAAAACCCTGAGGGGATGAAATATCGCGAGTGTCTATGACAATATAACTAGTATATTATACAGAATTTCGTTTGAAAGACACCCACTTTGTTAATAGTACCAATGAACAAATTAGTTCCCGAGGAATATGGAATAGGTTCTAATTGTTTTCCACAGCAATTATCGCAAGTCGAATTGCTAGTGCTAGCTAGCCATTTTTCACTAAGACTAAGTAAATGTATAGTATACTAGCTATAATCCCAACTGAATTTCCCTTTAAATTAATATTCATGAAATGCATTAACTCGAGTGTGCAGTAATTTGGCCGTTGAAGTTATACATTGCATGCTTCTGAAATCCAACTAAAAGCCACCTAAAGAATCTTTAGGAAACGTTGTGATGACTTCGAACCAAAAAGCACTCACAATTCTTTATGAGTAATGTAAATTTACCTTGTTCATGCCAGCTTATTGTTCAATAATCCTTTTATTTTGTGCTGGACTTGCTGTTTACGGTTTGCATTATTGCATATCCCGCCGTTTTTCCCGCCAAAATGACAGCCTAGTCCCTAGGCCTCATTGCGCGTGTTTTAAGAACCCGTGACGTCACGTACTGAATGAAACACGCGCGAGAGGCCTAGCACAAAATGTTTTCTAATGTTAACGGAAACCAGTGTGCCCCTGGATAACTACAGTACTCTGCATGTTTACAAGTTGCCTGGAGTATGTTCTTCGTTTAATTAAAAGTTTCTATTTTGATATAGCTACCTAAATACCATTTCACAAGCGAAATATGAAATTAACCAAACTGATTTACTATTTATAATGATATAAAATAGGAGTTATTTGTCGTAGCGAATAATAAGTGTATTGCTTGCGTGTATTAATATAAGTTTATTTGTACAGAGTGTCTCAAAAAAAAACGCAACCACTTAAATATGCAGGAACATTAATACAGCTCTAAAGCGCAATTATAGATAAGCACATCTGGGAATTGAAAATGGCTCTTAATCCTTCATTTAAAATGCGAAAAGTCATTTTAGCTGAACTATGGCGCAAACCCGAACAATATTAAGTGGTTGCGTTTTTTTGAGACACCCTGTAGATAACGTTATAGCTATATAGGGTAGCGCACGCGTAGAGCAATGGAGGGAAACTGGTTGTAAACTTGCTTATCTAGATTTGAGTACAGGAAAACGTTGTTACGTTTTGGAGAACGTGCTCTTCTGATTTATTCCTAGCGGAATTAGAAAATTAGAAAGGCTATTCGCACATAGCTACAGTTAAGTAATATTCCTTTCACGTGCATTAGGATGTTTCACGTGCACAGTCAGCATACCTATATAAAGAGATCCAAAGCTGGCTGTCGTCGAAGCAATTCCGAGAGTTTTCACTAATCCTTCCCTCCCATTCTCTAGGTTGTGAGCTGCGATAATTTCTATGTAGTTATACGATAATTTCTATAATTTCTAAAATACGAACGTTGTAACAATAATTTGTTGTAGCTATAATTTGTTACTTTTGCTTTATATAAATCGGCATGTGCTCTGGCACATTGCCATTATTTTATCCAAAAAGTCTCGTTGTTCATTTCAGTTGCATGCCTTTAATTTGCCCAGAAAACAGAGCTCACCAGTCTCGGAAACCGCCGGCACCTCCTATAGGGCCTTTAGTTGAAACGGAAGCGATAAATTTATATATTAATAATTATATAAAATTAATATTTCCCTTCTCCATAACCTGATTGTAAATCTTACTTCTTAGGTTCGTCTGGTTCAAAAGAAAGACACTGGCCATGTCTACGCAATGAAGATTCTAAGAAAAGCTGACATGTTAGAAAAGGAACAGGTGCAGTAATTACATACCAGGTTATATGTGGCAATAACCAGCTTAAGCAAGCGACGGCGAGAATAACCAGACACAGTACTAAAATGCGGTGCCCGCAATGCTTGCCTAGAAATAAAACGTCCGCTCATTTCTAACGACATCACCAACTTACATTCTCCTGTCGGCCGCAGCCTGGAAGGTTGGTACATTAAGGTCAAAATTGCGCCGTTTTAAAATCTTCAGAAATAAAATATTTAGGCTAAAAATACTATCTAAAAATACTATCAAAATGAAGAGAAACGTGAGACGAATAAACTGGTGTAGAGCCGGGAACTAGAAAAGCAACAATACAGAAGTCAAGGATTAAGCGTACTGCATTTTTAATTTGTTTAATAATTTTGAGCGATTTGTCATAAAGTTCGCTTATTGAAACTATACTTTAAAACCTTCGAAATAGAATATATTTGGCTCAAAATACTATAAAGTAAATCGTAATGTAAGACCGATCCACTTATTTAAGGACGAAAATTAAAAGAGAAAACCAACGATATGAAAGATATCAAAAACCAAACTTACTATTACTAGTAAAGTATAGCATAGTAATTTTGAGCGATTTGTCAACAATTCAATTTCGTTTGTCTTTCAAACGTCATAAATCGCTGCGAATACTCTTGTTTAGTAATATATTTAAGACCCTCAGTATAATTTCTTACGCTGAATCGAATGGTGGTATTTTTGTCCTTCTTGGGTGCATAAAAGCAGAGATACACGCAATTATCAGAGTTTGAGATTGAAATTGAAAAAAGAAGGTTCCTTTAAAAAAGGAATTTGGCAAACGTACAACAAGATTAATAGTAATAATTAGGAAAAAATTCCAAGTATTCCAAGCATGTGCAAGGAATTTTTACTAGGCGATTAAGGAAACGTATTGATGCGAACAAACAAACTCACAGGCAGAATATAATGCGGTGCCAAACTTGGCGCGGGCACCGCAATTACGAGAAATATACTCATATTCCCTCCCGTACCCCCGATAAATATTGGCAAATATTGCGCGTGTGCTGGGGCCGTTTAAGCTAAACGGGCTGGATACAACCGGCCCCTGTATTTTAAGCCTGTCACAAAGGTTCTTTTACGCTAAAGGTTCATCTTCACCGCAGGTCGCTCATGTGAGGGCGGAAAGAGATGTGCTGGCAGAAGCAGAAAATCCCTGGGTCGTTAAAATGTATTTCTCCTTCCAAGATGCTCAATTTTTGTATTTAGTTATGGAGTTTCTTCCCGGCGGTAAGTGCTTTGATCTGTGCATTTAATACTCGTCACTCCTTTCAACATTGAAAGATTGAAATTCTTTAGAGAGATGGCAAGTAGTATTATTTGGGTCTCTAAGAGAAAGTTGACCTTTCTTACGAAGTCTTGTTGCAAAATCGTTCAATATCGTTTTAACATATCTGCAATCAATATAACAGCTATCCGTCATCTTGCCTTAAAACGACTTCTACCTCAAACACTGAAAAATCGCAACTATACAAGCTAGCCCTCGCATAAGTTTCGATTCCGAATAAGTTCAGGTTTCAAAAAAACATGGAGTTTGCATGATAATCTCTCGGGAGTTTGAAGTTTAAATTTGCCCAGGTTATGAAGTTATGCAGGTCATTTTGATGTTGGCTGTTAATTTTTTTTTTATGAATTTATCTTCTAAAAATGCGTAAACTTATTTGTGAATACATCACGTTCTTTCAAATAAGACACCTTTTGATAAAAAAAATTAGTTTCAAGGTAAGTTCACAAGGGCAAATTTATAGCTGGGAAACGATTTGGAAATAATGGTGTCTGGCAGCAGGTAGAAGTAATATCGTATAGAAGTGATATCGTATAGAAGTAATATCGTATAGAAGTAATATCGTATAGAAGTAATATCGTATAGAAGTGATATCGTATAGAAGTAATATCGTATAGAAGTAATATCGTATAGAAGTAATATCGCATAGAAGTAAATCGTATCCAAATTTTCGGGAAGGGTGGTTCGTGTTTAGGGGCGTGTCAATCACATCCGAACATGTTGATTTTTTTCCGTTGCAGGAGATTTAATGACGATGTTAATGAAGAGAGATACTTTCACTGAGGAAGAAGCACGGATGTATATTGCTGAATCAGTGTTAGCCATCGACTCAATCCATACGCTTGGATTCATACACAGGTAAATTACATAGGAAGTCGATATTTACACCAGCCCTTTAAAATTGTATTTCGTATATTTGTCTTGGTTTTTATCTCTCATGCCCAATGTAGCTACATTACCAGGCAGTACGTACAGAAAGAGAGATCTGACCGACACCGCAGAAATTGGTGTTTAAGACGTTTTAACCCGAAAATCTAATCGCTGGTTCACAATTGTGCATTTCTGTACCGCCCTATCAAAGAGAAACCTTTTGAATATCTTAAAAAAGTTCAATTTTTCTTCTGAATACGCATTCTGCAATCTTTTGACAGCTCATCATACACATCTGACCGCTGTGAAATGGCCATTTTGAGGCTTAAAGTATACACAAGGTTATTAATTCAGACGATTCGTTTTTACCGTGAGCAAGCTTCAAATCTTTTGTGCAAGACATATTTTCTTGAATATTTATAAATCTTTTTCCTCACCAAGTTTGAAGTCTAAGTATCGAGAATTGCGGCTAAGCCTATACCAATTTCCGCGGTGTCGATCTGACCGATGACCAACCAGTACTATTGACCGATTTTGCCATCTTTATTCAATGTTGCATTTCGACTTCCGCTTTCCTGCAACTTTGGTCTGTGCTTTAATTAAGTAAATTATAGCGTGACTTCATAAGTCCAGTGCCCTCTGCCAATTTTATCATCAAGTTCTCGGTGGTAGTTTTATATACATGTTTGATATTTTAAATTTCGTGGTGCTGTATATCTGACCAAGTGTTTGTTTCTTTTAGGGATATAAAACCCGATAATTTGTTGTTGGACAGCAGGGTCAGTATCTTTTTTACCCGTATCCTTTGCCCAATAATTCGAATTTTAACTTAATTTGTCGATTGTGACAAGTTGTCGTGATTCTTAAAAAATATATATTAAGCCATTATCACAGCTGAATTCAATTCTCTTGGTAACTGTTTGTGGTCACTTGTACATCAAAATTATTATATAACTGCATGTACATCCTATACGAAAGCTTTAGTTCATTAATATTTGGTTGGACTCATGAAAAGTTCAAGGTCTGAAATAGGGTGAGGTGGTTAATCGACAAAATCGATTCAGCCAATGTTCTTTTAGGGAAGGTATATTGATTACCTGCGTTAACAGTGCGACGTCGTCCGATAGACTACACACTCCCAGACTCCATCATATATACCTTTCTTTGAACACAACTTCATCGTTTCTAATATATAGTTTATTGTATTTCTAGGGTCATATTAAACTTGCTGATTTTGGTTTGTGCACAGGCTTGAAAAAAGCGCATCGAACCGATTATTATAGAGAACTTCAACCGCAAGACATGCACGATTTTGGTAGGGATTTCCAAATTTCTTTCCTAAAATAAGGATTGATTTCCATAATATTGATTATCAAAATATAAAAGTGAGATCATGTAGAGTTAAACGCGGCTGCAATGTTCGTCCAATTTTGCAATTGTCAACTTTCTAATGCTTTCGCATTCCCATGTGTAAAAAGAACAAGTAGTTTAGATTGCCAAAATCCCAATTGTATTCAGCAACCATTCATGTTTTGAAAATTCTATCAAGATGGAGGCTAATGTAAAATAAGATTTAGCTGCACCAATTTCATATATAATTCTGCTGCCTTCCCTTCCTCTTAGTTAATGATCCATTGGACTCGAAAAGAAAAGCCGCCACGTGGAAACGGATGAGAAGGGCATTGGTAAGTCCAAACGCAAAAAAATCAAAGCACATCACTATAGGCTTGCATGTTTTTGTGTTTAGTGCATCGTAGTTCAATGGCGACGGAAGATCGTTAGTTATAGGCAGGGGGGGTAATATTCATATATTCACGTTAAGCACTATTAGTTCCTTTTGAAATTTAACTAAGAGTTATCGACAACTAAATAAGTCCGCTAAAGGATTCCACCCACACACTGGCGCTCAAATACTGATTTAGCAACCGAAATAGCCCGGAGATTAAAAGTAGTCGACAACTAAAACAAATGCTTACACACACTGGAAAAACGCCAAAAAATGAGGCCGTCGACAACTACGAAGTTTCCCTTTTCGAAAAGGGAAACTGCTTAGTTGTCGACAACTAATAATTTAGAGTTTAGTTGCCAAAAACTTGCGCAACAGACTACGTTTTTTAGTTGTCGATAACTTTTAGTTGTCGACAACTAAATCCCTAGGAGGCCTAATCTGTGGAGGCCCTTAATATGAGGCTAAATTTGTAGTATATTACTACTCTACCCGTGTGTGGGAGGACTGAATTATGTAGCACTCGTGCTAACGGCGGCTATACAAAAGTGCTGTGTAAGAAATAATAAACCGTGTTTACAAACATGAATGTTTTGTCTGCAGGCATATTCTACGGTGGGAACACCCGACTACATTGCTCCTGAAGTATTTCAACAAACTGGCTATACTAAGACCTCTGATTGGTGGAGTTTAGGAGTTATACTTTATGAAATGTTGATTGGTATGTTTTCTATAATAAGCTAGTGTTGACCATCTGACAAGAGAGCAGAAACTTCTGCATTTTGTAACCCCGCGTTTTTGGATACTTCACTGGTCACGTCATTTTTTTATTAAGTAGAATCTTTCATAAATTTTCACGTTTTTTTCGCAAATATTATTGGCAGCATGCTACTTAATACGTGCGTAACATGTTTCTGGATATTGGTCTTGATTTGATAGAGAAGCATACTGCTTCAAGCCTCTAGCTTTTCAGACTCAATAAGAGTCAGACTTGAAAGAACTTCACATAGCTGTCATACTATTACTTTTGCACAAACAAAAATTCACGCTGGAAAGAGTCTTTACTGAGCACCCTGTCATTATTGGGGGGGGGGCGCAATATCATAGGGGGGGGAGAAAACCGACGAATTCAAGTAGGAATTCAGTCTGCAGCGAAAATCCATTAGTGCCTAGATCATCATGAAAGTCTGTTGTCCTAATGACCCCACTACCTCGTCCCAAGTATCGTAACATTCTAGTATTTTTTTTATTATTATCGTTACAGGTTATCCTCCGTTTTGTTCAGAAACTCCTCAAGGTTTGTTCAACTCAAATATTATAGTGTTGAAATATATGTAGATGGTTGGTTAAGAACACAAAGGATCAGGGACCGATTGTGAAAAGCTTTAACTACAATTCTCTACTTAATTTAATCGTAGTAAACTTAGAAATACACGAATCTGATTGTCCAATTATGTCACAAACTATACTTAAAGCTTATAGCTTTTTTTTATACAACCGGCCCAGAGCTACAAGAACCGCCTTATCTGTACTGAACTATTCTAGAGGATCTGTTCTCAATTTTTTTCAACCTTTCTGGCTTAAGCTTTAGAGGATAATATCAAAATCCGTCAATCTTCAATAGCTAAATACAAAAATATTTTTATAAATGCACAGAAACGTACAAAAAAGTAATGAATTGGAAAGAGACGCTCGTCTTCCCGCCTGAAATACCAATTTCCCAAGAATCCAGACATTTAATTCAAAGGTAATTTGAGAGTATTATTTACTCTAAACACTCTTCCTTAGTGTGATGTCTAAATTACTTTGAAAACTCTGTACATTACGTAGTCCTTTTAGTGATGTGTGTGTGATTCTATTATTGTCTGCGTTAAGCAGACAAGCTACATCTTAGTTGGGTAAATTTGACTATCAAATCGGAAAGCATTTATTGGAATGTTTGGGGTCGATCATAGCTCTTTATTATCTCTCTATCATCTTCACTGGCGTGGTTCACTGAACACTTGAAGGCGTCACCTTGGACAGTATACTGTACATTTTCTTACTTACGTATATTTCAAAGAGATAACGTGCGCTTTGTTTAGACTATGTTGCGAATGCGATCACAGGATTGGTACAAACGGAGTGGAGGAAATCAAAGGGCAAGCGTTTTTACGAGGAGTTGATTGGGAACACATAAGGTACCCAGGAATTATACTGTTTGGCAGTGCCATGTCAGCCTAACGATTTGTTCCAATATGCTAATATTTTGGTGTTCATTGACCATGTGAAAAAAGTTCTAGTTAAATAATGATCGGCTGATTTCTAAGCCTTCGTAATTGCCCATACAAATCAGCCGCGAATATTTTAGTGTTCTTGTAAAATGAATAGGGTTTTTTTAGACTTAATAGACTTCTATCATCTATCAGACTTCTTCTTATAATAATTAAATAATTAATTAATTGAATAATTAATTAATTAATTAATTAATTAATTACTAATTGGTAACATGCATAACATTGCATTGCACATTATATACAGTCGTGGGATATTTTTTGGTTCGGTTGGGCTTTCTGTAATTTTTTCAAAATATTTTGTTTATACTCTAGAGATCGACCAGCCCCGGTACCCATCGAAGTAAAAAGTATTGATGACACATCAAATTTCGACGAGTTTCCTGATTTAGATATGAATTTTGAAACTTCCGGTAACAGAAATATTTTCATGTTTATTACTTTCACGACCCAAGGTTTCGGCACTCGATCTTGTCTTAAAACGTTGATCCTTATATACGCTCAACATGACTAAAGTGTTGAAACGTTGGGTCGTGAATGTATACTTTGTGTTCTAATATTTGTACTTTTATTATTAAAACCAGTGTGGCGATATATGTTTGTTTGCCATAGTTTTTCTGCTTACGTTTTCTACAGAGTGATTATTCCCGAGCAACAACTTGCCCGCGCCTGCCCATTTATGCTGCATTTTATGTTGCCTACATGTTTTCGTTTCAAATATCATCTTGTAGAAAGGAAACTTAATGAACGCGAAAGGAACTTTGGCAAAGACGTCTATAAATAAAGCTTTTTCAATACAGCAACATTCAAAATAAATGAAGTATATGTATTTGTTTAGAATAGCGCGAAATTTCATGCACTGACATGTGTAACTATCGTTTCTTTGTAGATGATCCGGCCAAAGTTGGAGCAACGAATAGAAAAGACTGGGTTTTTCTAAATTATACGTTTAAACGATTTGAAGGTCTCACGCAACGAGGTCGACCTCTTGGTCTTCCAATGTAGAACAAGAGGATTGAAAATTCATGTTTTGTATATCGGCGTTTTTCGACCGACCTGGATGTAACTCAAAAGAAAACCTTTTTCCATGTCGGATATTTATAATTGTAAATTTGTAATGCTACAGAATAGATAGCTGAAAACATAGATTAATAATAAACCATCTGTGCTTTAATAGTTCAAACGCTCCATGTCAACAGTACTCCTTACGCACAAATTAAGGGTCAATTTTCTCCTGGGTTATCGCATACTATTAAATACAAGCGAGCACGTGTTAAATATGAAAAATCCGTCAGATTCATCTGACTCATTTTTCCAAATCTGGTACAAGACAATAAATTTGGATATGATATATATTAATATTAAAACTTTGTAGTTGCGAAGTGGCTGCTGATTGGTCGGATAATTATGGAAATCGCGAAAGCTATTTTCCCCACCGAATTTTTTTTCCATTCAAAATTCTTCGAAAAGGATTAGGTAAAATAAAAAAGCGTGGCTATTCGCCACCAACTCTGGTGGTCTAGTGGTTAAGGTTACGACCTACGATGCGGGTTACTGGTTTGAATTCCTGCCAAGATTTTGATTTTTCCCACACCATTATTGACGGAACTGATTTCGGATACGAAGTTTTATTGACTACACATCCAGACGATGAGAACTTAGTAATTAAACATTGATTCTCAAACTTGGCATGGCAGGAACTGTATAAATAGCTTGGCAAATAGCTTAGAGAAGATTTAAAATTGTCGGAAATTTGCGACCGCCAGAACTTTTATGTTAAAATTAAATCCGCAATTGTTTTAAATAATAATAATTTAGGCTGGAGTATTAATAATATTTATAAGACTGAATCACAACTCAAATCACTAATAAAAATTCTCATTAAATAACCTACCATTTATGGCACTGTTTCACAAGAAAATATCAAAATTTATTTCATATTATTTCATAGATATCTAGATCAAAATTTTTGTCTACTTTGCAGACTATAGTATAACAAGAATCAATACCTAACTATTACAATATAATGATTTAAAAGGCATGCACCAGTGGTTATCTGACATGTTGAAATATTCAACTGATATTTTTCATCATTTTGTGAATAATTAACAAAACATTTACTTTTTTTATTTCCAAACTTTTTATTTCCACACTCTTCGTGCACAAAATGCCAGGCAACAAGAAATATCATAAGAAAAAAAGCCCAACAAAAAGTGGTTCACGCATTGCTTGGCGGCCGTTGGGACTTAATTCTAGTCAATAAAAAATACCACAACATTCTACAAGAAGCAATTTACTTGTGCTCAATTTCAAGGGGGGAATAATTCATTTCGTTGCTGTATTTTCACAGCCGCCATTTGCGAAATTAGAGATGGCCGTAGCATATGTCTTTGTTTGTGTATTATATCAGTTAATGGTCCGTTGTTTCCCTCATATTTCACCGTATACACTATATATAGAGTCCATATTTTCTTTTCAAACTTTTAGACGTCGAAGTATGCACAAGATTAGACCACAAAGTTCATAACGTCGACGACAGTATTTCAGGTTTAGGCAACTTGACTTTTCCTTTATTTCGATATAACATGCCAGAGAGCCATTATTGAATTGCACAATGAACTTTACAAAGATTCTTTATTTTGAAGTGTCCCTTTTTATTGACGCGGTACGTCTTCTGATTATTATTGTGCAGAGTTCCTTCCATCTCAGACACTTCCTCATGATGTACTCTAATAAATACATTGTTGACATCCTGGAAAGCTGCCACGATCCACATGTAAACGCACGAAACGCCAAATGAATAATCTTTCCTGCTTCTCTCAGATTGCCACTTTGTTCATAAACATTGCTCTTGAATCGAATTTTTTTTGTGTGATTCTTTCGCTGCTCTTTGAGTAGATATGAATTTTTTCATTTCAGAAAGCCTCGTACGATACGTCCACGAAACTACGAGTCTACATGTCTTGAACAATATGTAAATAACTATGTGTCGAAACAAAACGACAATGGCTTTCCAGATGATGCATGTCAACATGAAAATTTTGCTGTTCACCAACACATTGGAACTTCTCAATCAACCCTGCACGCATATACTGTTACATCCCAGAAAATTATTGAGCACAAGAAACATAAATTGCAGGATGTTGTGAAGCGACAATAAGTATAACAAAATTTTTAAAACATGCTTTACGTGAGTGACATATCTCATAGCCTGGCCGGGTTTTTTTTTCAAAATAGAGCAATTTTAACACACGAAGTCCGTATATTTCTTGAACTCGGAATGCATGCGACGCGTGTTTCCGAATATCTCAAAATATCGATGAACCACTGTTTTTTAGTCAACATTCCTAACGATATCAAAAAATCACTAAAATCTAGTATTAAAAATGTTAACAAAATAGTCATCAAATTAAATTCATGCATATGGAGATTATTTAACTTTACAGACTATAGCTATAAAAAATGAAAGGATATAGCCAATTTATGTCTATTACAATTGCTTGTAACTATATAGTCACAAACTTCTACATGGTCCCTCCAGGTTAAAAGGAATTCCTTGACGAGCAAAAAGGTTACTAACGCTTCCAATTGGGTCAGCAAACTCGTTAGTTGATCGATGAGCCAGAACTGACTTACATGGGAACAGCAATTTGTTGGTGTATTTGCATTGCATACATTATAATGTCAGAGGTTATTGCTGTGTACATAATGCATGTATGGATTGATAATGTTTTTTCATTATGCACGGATGGTATGTGCACTGATCGAGATCAGAGGCCTCTCGTGGCAAATAATATATTTGATTTAGTTAAAATCATTATTTGTTTATAATTATTTAATGTATATAGCAATTATATGCATTATACTTTTATACAGGATGAATAAAAACAACCTTAGTAATCCCAGTGCGCTACGGTCTTTTTTTTTAAAAGAAGCGTTTCGATAAATATTCAGTGGTTGCGTTTTTTTATACACCCAAAAAAGATAACTCACAATGGAAAATTGGCTTTTTTCCAGCTTTATGACGTGATATATAATAATCTATTATGATAAATTAAAATATATAGCTGAGTTATCGAAATAAATTTTAGTGAATTACAATAATAATAATAGCTTTCAGTAATAATTGAGAGCTTACAGTACAGTGATTTCGTTACTTTTGAGAGCTTACAGTACAGTATTTTCGCTCAACTGAAAGGATGAGCTATGCTTAAACTGCTAAATAAAGATCTAAATATTTGATGAAATAGTGCAGCTGCGTCTATTGCGGCCTGAAATGAAAGTTTTATCGTTTTGAAATCAACTGATATTTAATATTTAAATCATGTATATATTGTTGGTATAACAGTGCATGCATGTATTAATGGGAACAGTATTTCAAGCTACAATTTATATCTTCGCGTATAACAAGAGACACTTCGATCACCAATATCTTTGTATGTAGCATTATGATGGCTTCCTCCCAGCATTAACGTACAGAAATACACGTATTTGGGCTTCTAAATCACGTTCACTAAAATTAACACGAAGTTCATGCAATTGAAATGCATATAGATTAACGGGAAAAAATCCTTGTCGATATTTATATTAATTATGTATTACGCGAAGCGGCCGATAGTTCAAAATTCTACTTACTACTTGTATTGAGTTTCAGCTGTTCTTCGCCATTTCAAACGAAATGAACTTCCAAAAGAATAGGTGTCTCAGGTGTTGCCCCATGTTGCTCCGCAGCTCCTTCCAGAAGGTTGCCATAAACCACTTCCAATACATTGATTGTTTTTCTTGAAGTATCTCCAGTGATTTTCCAGGATTTGTAATAACTATCGACCTCACGGTAATCCTTAAAACGGTACAGTTTTCCGGGTGACTCGATGATATTAAAGCTGTCATCTCCAACGACTTCCTCTGTGCAAATACCTGTGAATAAGCTTTTCGTCTTTGAATCCTTCATACCAAAAATTCCCATCGGACGATGACAAAGCGTGGAGTGCGTTTCATTTGTGGTGTTTGGATGACTTTCATCACACAAAGCATTGCAAAATGGGCAAGAACGTTCACAAGCAAACATGTTTTTGAACACCACTTCATGCAGTGACGGATTCCATTTTCGAAAGATGGCATAATTAACTCCATGAATGATCATAGATTCTATATGCGCGGTTAAACAATCGTAAACTGTTAATTGGAACACGTCAATTTCATCCAGATCTTCAATGACGACTGCAACAAACATTTCATTCTTGAGCACGAGTGTTTTACATTCCTCGACAAATTGCTGAATCCAAAAAGTCAGTTTCGCGTTCTCAGTAGTACTTGCTTTCCTGTTTGCGTGTTCAAAGGCATCGATGACTTTTTCTCTGATCTTGTTGATTTGTCTTTCGAAAAGCGTGTTGACAAAAGGCAGGTTTTCATTCAGACAGTAGTTCTCAATTGCTTCCATTAATTTCGCTTTCATAAATTGAACTTGATCTTCAAGATAAGGAATGTACGATTCAAACTTGCCCTTTTCTCCCAGTTCAATAAGGACTCTTGCATGGAATCGACCTTTGTTCTGGTACTCTCCTCTCTTCGATAATTCTTTTGCCACGCAAAGACCCATGTTAGACTCTAGCACCGATTCAATTTGCTTTGCAATTACATCAATGAACAAACAAGCAGCCAACTCCTGTTTTGCCTTCTTGGAAATATTTTCAAAATAGTTTTGTAACACTGGTCGCAGGTTTTTTTCAAGGTTACCTCTTATGTCTCGTTCTTTTAAAAAGCGCATCTCCATTTCTTCAAAGAGTTGGTACGACTGTGCGAAAGTATAGAGTAATATATCGAATGTTAAAGAAATTTTAAATTTGAAGTGATATTTCATGGTTTCATCATCTATGGTGGTAACAACAATTTGGTACATCTGCTCAAGGTAACTGCGAGTAAACCTAACACCTGATTCTGACTCTTTTTTGCTAAATTCAAGAGCCATCTTAATAACATCTTTCTTGATTGTTCTAGCATGACGAAGACATTGTCTTCGAATCCATTCTTCGTCGTAGAGAAACTTTTTAAAAATGTCTATGTTGTATGAAAGATCATCGCTGACTATGTTAGGTTCAATACTAAATGACAAGACGGTGTTTTTGTTTTCTAATTTCTCTTCACCTAGAGCAGAGTTTTTCTCCCGAATGAAACTCATCATTTCATTGTTGATGTCAATTTTCTCCTCCTGTGACGGTGGAACTTCCGCAATCCATAACTGCCATTTTTCTTCAAATAACTCCCTCAAATTTTTCTTCTCTTTGAAGTCGGGAAATGAGGCAAGTAAGGCTTTAGCTTCTTCCACGATTTGCTCTTCATAGACTACTTGTTTTTCTTCTACATCTTCAAGTTTCTGCAAATACACAAAGGCTCTTTCGCAATCCTTCGTCACCTGTTCCACTTGCATTTCTCTTTCCTTTGTTATTTTTTCGCTTATCTCTCTTCTCCACTTATCAAGACTCGTCTTATCTTCATTGTTTTCAAAAAAGGCATCCATTGCTTCTTCCATATCCTTTTCAAGCTTTTCTCCCGTATCACTTATCTCTCTCTGAATCTCATTCCATTTCCTCTCCCGTTCTTCACGCTTTGAGCATCTTTTTAGAGTTACATTAATTTTCCTTTAAGTTCGGCCATTCCATCAACCATCACAGTCAGAGAGGTCTTTGTATATTCTTCGTTCAGGATCTCCGAGCCCTAAGTTCAATCGTATTCCGAAAACTAAATATGAAATGCTCTTTTAAAATTGCTTCCCAAAGATCAGAGACTCTCTTTCGAAAATAAGCCAGTGAATAATGGGTACTTCCTTTCAAGCACATCAGGTCAATGATGGCTTGTTTGATTTTCTGAACACTTCTTCCGTATGAGGGGTTTACCGGAGCCATTGGTGGATTTCCTATCAGCAGGGTTGGCAAATAAAACACGTCTTTTTTTTCATCAAATGAAATGATATCATTAAATTTGGTAAATTTATTCTCGCACTTTTCCTGACTTGCCGCAATCAATGTCATTTCATCCAGATATTTCTTGAAATTCAAACGGTGACAACCTAATATATCTTCAGCATCAACTGCAACAACATTTTGATGGACAATCAGACACGATTTCTTCTTCTCCTCCTCTACAAGCTTCATTTTCACGAAAGCAGACACAGCCATGCCCAAGAAGTCTTTTATTTCGTTATGACTTTCACCGTAGATATTCACAATAGTCACATCAGCCAAACCAATAACGAAGGTTGCTAACTCATTGTCGTGTTGTCGTAATAGGGGATCCGAGTTTCCTATTAGACCTTCAGTATCAACAACCAACACATAATCAAATTTGAATCAGACTTGAGGGAGTCACTAACATGAAGAAGACTCGCAAACACACCGCGAGTACATCTACCAGCACTGGCTGGAAAATCTAAACCGAACATTGTGTTTAACATTGTCGACTTACCTGAACTTTGAATTCCTAGAACAGAAATGATGAAAATTTTGGCATTTTTGTCTTGTCTTGAAGTTTACCATATACAGCATCGAACCATCGCAGTGGAATGTAAAAGGAATCTCCATCCAGTATCTCCAGAGGTTGCCCAGAAAGCAACATGTCTGCAGCAGCACCTGCATAGTCGTTTGTAGAGATATTTGTGAGCTGGTATAGCTGCGCTAGTTCCCGGATGATGTGCTCTAAACCAAACGAGAACTTTGGTTCATCTATTTGTTTTGATTGTTCAGCCCGTGACGTGGCGTGAATCTCCAATTTTTGCTTTTGATCATCTCGAAACGAACAGGTTTTGAGCTCCAGAGACATCTTGTCCAACTGCTGCTTTAATTTATTCAAGGCGTTATTTCGTTCCCGTCCATTCATCGTTGCAATCAAATTAAGACAGTGAAGAATTCTTTCGTCTAAGTCACTGAAAGATGCTATTTTAGCCTTTTCGCATTCTTCAATCTTTTGAAATACTTCGTCATTCCTGGAAGATTTTGGACGATGCAATTCGCGATCCAACTTCGCCAGTTCTGGAATATGCGTTTGTAACTTCATAAGAGTTTTAGCTTCTTTGATGCCCATTTGCAACCAGCTGTCCACAGTTTTCCAGAAGTTTGGATCTGATTGGTCGTAATCAAGTGAGATACCGTGTCCACCAGCGACAAGAGCAAGGTTCACTAAAGGTACTGCTTTCACCCCTTGGATAGCCTTTTGGATAGCTGCTCGGATTTTATCCAAAAGCTTGTGATCATTGAACTTGCTGTCGTTCATTACCAAGGAAAGCTTATCGCTGTGTTTACTTTTTAAATCTTTGAAATAATTCTTCGTCTGTGCCTGTTTCTGTTTCTGTGTTGCTTCCGGAAAGATGAGATAAATCTTTACTACTTCGCTTTGTGTTGCTTTATTCAAGACAGCCATCGTGGTTTCATCCGGACACTGCGAGGTTAGTACTATACATAACACGGACGAGATCTTGAGAAGGAAATTTAATTGCTTTTCAAAATCTCTGGCGTCTCCTCGAAGGTTTAAAAAGCAAATTTCATTTTGCAATTTTTGTCCCTGTCCACTACTTGGAAGATACCAGCTCAATTCAACCAATCCACCGATCACTTTACGCTCGACGTCACCACCCTTCATTTCTCTGTGAAAAAAAAAGTCGTGATGATTGCTTCCATCACTCATAATTTTATTAATTAAGAATGATTTTGACTTGGCAATTTCGCCGATGCGGATGAAGGAAACGATTGGAAATGGATGCTCTGTCGCAAACACTTCGTACACGCTTTTATTTTCATTAGAACCAGTCTTCCAAGACTTCGTGATGCTCTCCAAAGCTGATAGAAACATTGTGACGTTCTCCGTAGGCGCTGCCAGGTCAGGCACAAGAAACGGAACGCTAAGCTGACATGTAGACATTCTATTGGCAAGATAACGTCGTAAAGAGTTATCGGAACAATGAAAAGTACCGATTAAGGCATCCATCGAATTCACAGCTACAATATCCTCGTCATCTACATCCTCATCGTCATCTGAATTATAGGAATTTCTAGCGTTATCTTCATTTGAGTTTAAAGATTTTAATTTAAGTTCACGCAAAGTGTAATCTGCTATCATGAGTTTACTAAAAATATATTCAGGTATATGATCTGAAGACGTTAATTGATCATCCATTAGCGTATGGTTATCGATTTTTCGAGCATGTTTTAAAGAATATTTTCGATGAGGCCTCAGGTTACTATCAGTGGAGGATTGTGACAGTGTGTTGCTTGTGTTTGCATCCTGTGTGTTTGTGATCTCAGGTGCATGCGCAGTAGCTGCGGTGATTGTATTATTGGATTGACATGTTTGTTCTGGTTGATCCACTTGCGCTGTTGAAGCCAGAAGACCCTCCTGGCCAGGAATATTTATTGTTTCTACTACGGTGAAGAAACAAAAAATGGAATTTTAAACTTTGTTTCATCAGTAAGCAAATAACATTAGCCTCGTTTCCCAAGTCTTTAATAACAATATATTAAAGACGCATTATCTTAAATGTCTCAATGATATACTTAATTCTCGAAATATTTGGTAAACAAAGTTTAAAGATGACAAAATGATTAAATATTAACCTCAATAACTTTTTATCACAAGTTATATCAGGCCACAAAACGTGCAACTTCGAAGAGGTAAACTATCGCATCCGTTCGTTCCATGACCGGAACTATATATTTATAATATATTTTATAAACTCTTACTTCCCCAGAATAGTTAAGTCCGGTCCATGTGTTTACATGGTATTTTACATTTCTGTAGTATTCAAAAGGGGAGGAATGTATTCAAAAGAGGAGGATTTTTTTTTGGGGGGGAGGGTTCTATCTGTACGTCATGCCTGTATTCATATCTATATTTATGTGACAAATTCTAATAGACAATAATAAACAATAAGATTTCATTATTTTGCTTTGCATGGTCGTACATGCACAACCATTTTCCAAAAGTCGCATGTTTTAACAACAATTAATTAACAATTATTTTCAGCTGACATTGCCAGTCTTCTAATCAGATATAAAAATGCTAGAGATCAAGTGAGAACGAGTTCCTTGGGATAAATTCGCAATAAAAGCAAAAAAATGCTCTATTATTCCTTCCAGCAGTTGGTAGGCAAAACCGCTTTTGAATGACAAATTAATTAGGCATTTAGGAAATTTTTAAGCGCTATAGCTATAAAAAATTTACAGCTCATACCACTCTTTGAATCACTGGTATGCCCAATTTCCAAATACTCTGTAGAAAGTGAGTGTTCAGGATCTCTCTGAACGTTTTTCTTTTTGTGTACTGCAAAATATTGAAATAACTCAAAATCAGTGGGCAAAATTGGAAACACAACATGGGAAAAAAGTAGGGGGAGTTTTTGAATCAGGAAATAATCGTTCTGTAAGGTACACTTTACATCCACCGTTGAGGTTTAGGCAGATTATTGTCACGAAAAATGATACTTATAAATATAGGCGAATTGGCTGTATATGGAATCAAACGGGCAAGTAGGAAATGCATGATCAGTACTATATGACAGAATCTTCATTCTTTACTTCTATAGTTAGGTATTGGACACACTCAGCAATTTTAACGAAGAAACTATTCCTGATGTTTCGATTAATGTTATGTGGTTATTGTGAATTGGTGATTGGTTATTGTGAATATTCAAAAGTTGTCCTCTATTAGACATTATTATCTACGTCAATTTATTGAAGACTATTACAAGAAGCACCACTCAACCTCCAAGCAGCTGGTATAGAAGTAAGGCTACCATCAGCCGCACACACACGAGTTGGCTCTTCTCTACTCTCGTTCCCCGAGAAAGACCCCTATGCTAAAGCCAAGACACATCAAAGCTTGCCTGAAATTTGCGCAATAGCATGTCGATGAAGCAGCTAGATTTGGGGAAAAAATCCTGTGGTCGCGGATGAGACGAAAATGGAGCTATTTGCATGGAGGGAACAGCTAGTGCATGGCATGTTTAGAAAAAGAACGGTACGGCGAAACCCGATGCCAACTATGAAACACGGCAGGGGGAGCATCATGCTCTGGGGATGTTTTTCATTTAGTGGTACAGGTAACCTTCATGTCATTGAAGGAAAAATGGATAGTATACAATGTACCATGAGATATCGCTTAAAAGCATGGCTCCTGTAACTACCAAAAAGCTTAGGTTATCAAGAGGTTGGATCAACGATCCAAAATACACAGCAGTGAAAACAAAGGAGTGGTTTTCAAGGAAAAGAGTCAGGGTTTTGGAGTGGCCGAATCAATCACCTGACCTTAATCCAATTGAACATATCTGGAAACATGTAAAAATTCAAGTTCATGCAAAAAACCCACAAATATGAAAGAACTTAAGAAAGAACTTATTTTTTCAACAGGAGTGGGAGAAAATTTCGGGTGATTTTTGCAAGAAACGTATTTCAACCTACCCTAAACGTATGGCGGCGGTTATTGCATGCAAACAAAGAGCATATGTTACAAGATATTAAACTTTGTCTTTCAGAATCTGTCTAATACTTTTGAGTTTTCATTCTGAGGAAGAATTTCATTGTTTGTTTTGCAATTTCAGAAAAATAAAACAAAATGAAACAAAATAAAACAAAATTAAACAAAATTAAACAAAATGAAACAAAACGAAATGAAACTTTGACATCACCTCGCCTTTAGCAAAAAATTGTAAAATTTCTCGTACTCTACCTTTTCCATTGTCTCCATTTCTTGGAACCTCAAATTCACTAATTGAAGAATAATTCTCAGAATCGATATTCTCGGGTTTCCCAGAATTTTTTGCGTGCACACACTTTGCACATTCCCTTGGTTTCTTTCGTAGATTTTCATCTTCTGATTTCTCCATAGTACTAAAAATATAACATTTATGTACTTCCCAAAAAATTTTATTTACTTTCCCAAGCAATAACACAACGGTCAAACGAAATATGGCCAACAAATTCATACTCAAAAACGAATGAAAAACAGCCAACAAACATATACTCAAAAACCCAGCGAGTACGAGCGCTGGCTGATGGCGTAGGCTAAGCAAACAACACGCGAGAATGACGAATCTCGTGCTTGTAGTCACTTCTAAAACTCCCTAATAACAAGGGGGTCTGTTAATGTTGTAGTCAGTACAAAAAAACATAGAGATGTAAATATTTACCGATCATGTACACTGTATGATAAGTCTCACAAAATTAATGTTGCAAATCTGCAGTTAATAAGTTTAAGGTTAGGTCTATGCCAAAATGCAGAACTTATTTACCTAAACTGAGTAACCAGCGTTGCCCAAATAATTAGTTTTGAATTCCCACGGGAAAGAGACCAATGAGAATGTAGCCCGAAATGTTTGCTTATGACATAACGAAGACAATATGCCGCCGGTATATAAATTATTATTGCTATTATAAGAAAATGGAATGGGTTATAATTTGTGCGAGAAAATACATGTCAATCAGTAACTTAATGCGTCAGTCGTCACTAACTTAATGCATGAGTTGAATCAAAAATGCGAAGAGAAATTACATAATGCACAACGCTAGACGTCTCTGCAAAAGGCTGCAGCGTTCTTCGTAAAGGCACTTGCAAATTTAGGTGCGATGTTATGCGCGATTTTCGTCTTTTGGTAGATGTTAACGAGTGACTAGTTACGAATGGTCCGATTTTTTCGAAGAGCATTTATTCGAACATGTGTAACTAACTCACTCATTCACATCCGTGAAAAGAAGAAAATTGCACATAAAATCACAGCAAAAATCGCAAGTGGAAACCAGTCTTAAACCCTGGTCAAACGAGAATGTTAGTTGATGAGAGTTGAGAAGCGAGAGTTCACACGAGAGTTTTCCAAACTCTCGATGCGACGGTCAAACGAGAATGAGAGTTGATGAGAGTTGAGAACGAGAGTTGATTATTATTATTTAACTCTCATCAACTCTCATCAACTCTCATCAAAATTTGAACCAGTTCAAAGTCGATGAGAGTTGATGAGAGTGCACGAGAGTGTATGAGAGTTTATGTTTTCTAAAGAACGAAGCTATGCTATTGAAATAGAAATGTATCGTAAAGTTTGGCCACTGAAAATCATTCTTGCGAGGAGCTGGGACCCTACCCACTATAGTATTAAGAATCCAATATCAACTTGTTTTACATTCATACCGCTATCACATCGTTTATCTATAATAGTGTCTGAAATGTATATCTGTATCGTGAAAGAGGAATAGTGACAGTATTTCTTTACGACGAGGTCGTGACATAAAATACAGGCGCTCGCGTTGGAAAGCAAATTTTAAGTGTTATGCATATGGGCTGTAACATTGTTTACCAAAAAGAGCCTATTATTTTTATCTCTGTTGTAAACTGTTGAAATAACGAAAGTATAACTTCCGTTCGTATCGTAGATTTGGTGTTCCTAAACTCGCTATATTTCATCTTAACCTCGCTTTATGTCGCAAAGTACCCCAATTGTTTTTGGCATTTGAAGAGCTATTGGGAATTCTTATTTTACCTCGTGACAATCGCCGCTGCTCTTTCTTCTACTTCTTCAATGTTTCTTATTTCAACCACCAATTCTTCCGTTTCAATGCCAATATCCAAAAACTCCTTTTCCAAGCGTTCTTTTATTCTACCCGATTTAAAATCGTCTAAAACTTCCAGGAATCTTTTGCCCGTGAAACATTGCAGTGCAACATGAAGCTTTCCTGGTAGGATGTCGCTGACTTCCTGGTCTTCTCTCTCCCCACCAAGGCCTTTATCAATAGCCCCCTTCATTGTCAGTTTAAGTTGACGTGATTTATACTGGTATATCGCATATATTCCGCTTAGTGTGACCACAGTTCCTGCTATCACGGTAGAAGTCACTTTGTCGGCGTGGATAGTAAACTGGAAAACACCACTAATGCTACGCGAACATGTAGCACATACATGCTGTCCTTCGAATACTGCTGCCATGAGAATGCCTTTGCCTGGATTTAAAAATAAATAAATTATAAACCCTGTTAAAATCCTCTTTAAATTAATCGCAAAAGGAAATTTCCCATAAGACCTCTACGCCAGCCCATCGTAAAGAATTCTACGTCAAAATGCTATATAGCCTAGGTGCATATCCAACGAACTCACGTACTCTACACGAGCAGACCTTTATAATTGTATATATTTTTTAAGGAAAGCTTCAAACTTCTGTTGGCAGCGCGTAAAATGTCTTACGTTATCACGAAATAAGAACAATGGCTAGATTTCCTGTTTTATAGGCGCAGTAAGATTTAGGGGAAAAAACTATATGACTTGCAATAATGATTCTCTGTTATAACAGCCGACGTAAAAATGCAACATGTACACCTTTCCAATGCAAGGATGAACATCATCAACAATTGTTTGTAATAGGCATGCAGCTATATACTGTTTTAAAATCATTATTCGTGCAATTCATCTTATTTTCAGCTCTTCGATGAAACTTATATTGCCTGTATAAGTAAATTCACAAACCCCTGTTTAATTAAATATTGTGATATAAACACAACCAAAATGGAGCAAGTTCCGTAGTATTGTTGGCATAGAATGAAAATTTGAGTAATTATCCTCATACGTTTGGAAACAGACTTTTTTCATCGAATGTTTATCGGTAGTCTTGATGACAATTGTTCTACTAACACGCAATAATGTTCTGTATCGATAAAATACGAACGAAAATAGTTCTAGGGTGTTGAAAGAGGTAAAAAAATGACGGAATACCAAGCGTAATGGTAATATTTACCGTCAAGGATCTATGTCACTGCCTAGAATTTCGACATTGGCTAAAGCGCGTTTTCCACTAGGCAGGCGAATTTATTCGCGCGACGCAAAGCGATATCTGAAATCCCGTGATGTGATTCGTTTGGGAAAAAATTGCCGCAAGATAGTACAATCACTTCCTACTTTTTATCTGATCCGCGAATAAATTCTGGTGTAGTGGAAAACAGTCTTAAATGGCAGCAAAACATTGAGCATATTAGCAGCAAGCAATGTGGAGTGCTTTGGGAAGAAAACATAATTTGGAATATAGACAGCAAAAGTTGCAAAACATTGTGGAATATTAGCAAAAAAAGCTTATTTGTTTTGAAAATTTAAAATGACGTCCAGCGCATTATGACACGTCAGTCAAATCAAGGTCACGTGTGGCGTTCGAGTAACTATCGTCACCAGACGACTTCTCGAAACGACTAAAAATAAATTTGACCTTTACATATCGCGGACTTGACAAACAAATGTTTTTACTTGGGCATCATTGCATGTCCAGCCGTATGTCGACAAACGGACCAGACATTCAATCCGAACTAAACGCGGTATTTTATTTGATGTAAGGCTAGTTTCCACTCAGGAAAATTCTCCTTTGGATCGGATAGGACAGGAAAGTTTCCTTTGTATAAACGCCACTTGAGAACTCACCGACAAAGAAAACTTTCCTGTCCGTTCCGATCCAAAGGAGATTTTTCCTGAGTGGAAACTAGCCTTTAATCACATCAAAAGCACTCGTCTTCATAGAGATTATAAATAACACTAGAGGGGGCATTGGTATCGGAAACATCAGTCGAAAAAGGGAGCGCGATAATGGGGGGCAAATTCAAGTCCCGGATGCTAAGCCAAGCGCTGATTGCTAGATCAATACCTCCTTAGCAACCACGTTAGCAACAATTTTAAAAAATTATATTCGTTATTTAGGTCGCTTTGCCGGTTTTTTAAGGAAAAACAGTGCTTTTTGAAACTGGTTTTATTAATTTAGACATCCTGAGACGATATTTTAGGCAAAAAAACATTTAGAAATAAAAAAAACTCGTTAAAAACGACATATTTTGGCCTCGGACATCATGAATGAGTGAACATCCGGGACTTGGATTTGCCCCCCATTAACGCGCTCCCCAATTTCTCCTCGATGACTCCTCTAGTTTTATTTATAATCTCTATGCTCGTCTTCCCGTGTCAATTTCCCGCACGTGCATGTACGTACTAAATATATGCACTACTAACGAGTCTAGTGTTTTTGAATAGAAAATTTCCTTTACTAAAATAATGACTGCTAATATATCAGTATGGCAGGTATCGAAGTGGTGCCGCAGTTACGAATTCGAAAGATGTGGTATGCAAACGCACGATAAAATCCCGTGGTAGCACATATTTTGAACTAATTAGCATCGATTGTGGTACAACAACTGCCTAAATTAGACAAAATACTTCTCGACGTTTCGACCTGAGGGCCTTCGTGATATTTTGAACTGCTAAGCCCTCGCGGTTGTGATTAATTAGATGCAAATCGAAAGTTCCCTTTCGAAGGACTGGAACTTCACATTTTTCTGCGAAAGGACCCAATTATACTCTAGGCTGATTTGCGTAGTCGTATTATGTACACCCGGCTAAATAGATATGAGGAGAAAGGGTCGTACAGAGTCTATATACGATAATGTAGAAGCGGTTATCAAAATACTCACACACAATGCACCTCTCTTCGTCTAAATTCCTTTCACCATCTCATTTTAGACGCACAATTAAATAGTTACATCCAAGCTGTGGCCGTTGATATTGATAAGATGGCCGTAGTTAAAACATTTTCCGAGGATTTTCGCGAAAATTTATTATCGTCTATAAATATGCGACGTCTATATTATTAGTACTGCTGTGCCGTCGATTCCTTTCGTTTAGTGAAACCCAAAACCGGTCTTGAAATTCGATACCGACACAAAAATCACACACGAGCCTGTTGTCAGTGGTCGGTAACTTGATTTGATTGTTAAATTTTCATTTTTGGATACGTATGCCCAATATAAAAAAATCGTGAAAGAAACAGTGAAACACAAACAAAACTACAAAAGTGTTGCTCCCTAAATATATCATGCGATCTGATTAGGAGGACCAGTCCTTAATTCCTTGGGGAAAACCCGCGCGCGGGACATCACGAATGGGGCGCGCAGCAGTTTCCACGCACGCATCGCGCGACCGCTGAGGATGCCAAAGCGCCTGGATCCGAGGTTAGAATCGATCGAAGATAAACGATGGATCACGTTTACGAACTTCTTGAATATCTGTGTCACAATAACTCTACACCAATTATTCAATTCTAAAAATAATGGTAACCTTGCATACGCGTCCATCACAAATATATTTAAAGGTTGGTCAGTTGATATAGCTTTCGATTAAAGAACTTGTATTTTTATTTACTCTTTGCCCTGCTGGAAACCGACGCCCCATTGGTAAATCGAGAAAACTTTCACTTTAAACAATTTAGGCATAGTCATAGGCATTCTCAAATTTCAAGACACTTTTGATTAAATACAACAACAATGGCGCCACGGAACCGAAAGTCAATATGTAAAAGTAGGTTCTTACGGCATTCAACGAATATCTGAAACATTCCTCTCCAACTTGCTAAAACTTGCTAAGCAGAATCGCTCGCGGCGCCACGCATTGGGAATTATTGCTTTGCGCTCAACGTTTTAATTCATCTCGTCCTGTTAGGGCTCCCCGCGGACGCGAAATACTTGAGGTCGGCGCGTCGCATTTTTTGCAACCAATCTACTTTCCGCTAAATCGAATCCTACGGTTGTTATAGACTTATAGCGATAAACATTCAAGAGTTGGCAGCTGATCGCATTGGCGGGCCCTTTGAGTACCCTCCGTTTGCCAATTTTCGCGTTTCGCTGTTAGGGGTGATTCCTAAGAAAACTCCGGGAGAATATACTTTAATTCAACATTCGTCTTCTCCCAGTGTTGACTCGGTTAACGACGGTATTGCCCAAGAGCACACCACTGTACACTACGCTATAAAGTGGACGATGCTATCGAAATGATCAAGCGGTTAGGGCGCGGGTGTTTTTTGGCTAAAACAGATATTAAGAGCGCATTTCGCATTATTCCCATCAGACCGGCCGATTACGTTCTGTACCAAATCCAGTTTGCAGCCTTCATTGATTCCTACTTACAGCCCGGCCTGGAAATTCTATAGTTTACTTTTCGTTTGCGGTATTGCCTCCTAATTTAGTGCATCTCCCCATATCGTCCTTGAATAATTTGCGAATTGCCTCATCGAAAGCCAGTCTGCATGTGTAAATATTTTTCATTTACACATTGTGACATACGTGAGTACATAAGTATATCAAGGTTTCTATTTCCTCTTAAGACATACCTAACTTAAGAATTAATATTAAAGCTCTTATGGCTACATATGGCTATAGCTACAACTTTAAAAACTCAACCTTAAAAATCCGCCTTGCACAATGTTAAAAATTCGGTCATCGCTCTCGAAGAGGACAAAAATTGTTGCTATTTCTTTAAATGTGATATATCAGTGTCCTAATTGACGGTGGCGTCGCCAGCATCGATAAGTGGTGTGCATATATTAATATTTTCATGTTCACAGAGGGTAAAAACAATCAATTTGAAAAGAAATTAATAATGTGAAAAACGAATACATATGAATTTAGTATTTTCGCACAAGTGAATATAACAAATCCTACATTCTGAATGGTCAAATCGGACGTATTATTCTGTAAGAAACGCGAAATTTCAAAATGGCGGCTAGCCGTTTTGTGGACGTTTCTTACAAAGATATAAGCGAACAAATGCAGTTCTTGTGTCAATTCACTTCTGCAAAAATACGGAAACAATTATTCACCTTAGGCTCGGTGATTATCAGGGAATATTCACCTCGACTTCGGGAATATTCTCGGATAATCACCTCGCCTTAATTCGGCGAATAATTGGTACATGTCCACCCTACTTATAATGCTGGTTTTCTCTCCGGTGAGGATTCAATATTCATGATATGCACACATAAGCATTCACATGCACTCCCGTATGGCATCAATGAATCCAGACAATATTGTCGGGAGAAACAAAACTTAAATATCTCTGCTGTATTTGGGCTAAAGACCCCGGATTACCACAAAACGATAGCGCTTGAAAAGATTATTTAAATAGGATATTCAAACCAGCAGATAGCTATAAGCTGCAATTGTATTATAAGTCAAAACAAGAGTCAAAATTATAGGTTGCTTTGTTAGCTCAAATTACTCACCCATAGCAGCCATATACTTTAGAGATTCCGGATTTTTTCGCTTTTCTTGTCTGTTCTGTCTTCAAAATGTCTGAATTTTACATATTATCATTCTGTTATAATTCCGAGTAATGTTTACAGTAGGATGTGCAAAGATTCGAAAAATAGCGTTTTATAAGTTCTAAGCGATAATCGTTGCTAAACGCGTGCTTATACTGCATGCTCGGAATGTTGTCATGCGGTTGGAAAATGTGATAAAACTCCATGATTACCTCCCCCTGGAGTAAATTTGACCTGACGTAAAATTGGAACAAGGAGTCAGTTTTTCGGCTTTTTTTTTCCGAAATATTGTCAGTGATGCGATAATTCATATCTCAATATATAAAAATCGGCAAAAATCTTCTAAAGGCTCAATCTTGACGCTAAAGATATCAAAAATCCTGAAAATGTGAACTAAATCACTGTAACCCGTTTTCGTTTGCGTTTTGGTTAGTTATAGATTAGGCCGGTTTGATGTGTAATATTGAATAGTGGTGCACTTGTTTTTATCACTATACAGGATATATAGCAACGCCTCTCATGTAAAGAGTACATAACAATGAAATACAAGTATATAGACAAGTATAGACATAATGAGAGTCACTCGAGTGATGACAGGACTACTTGAATTATCCGGGTGATTATGCATAAAAATTTGAAATGGGAAGAAATTTAAAACATTTTAATTCAAATGCGAGAACGGTCTTTAATAGCGTTTTATAAGTTCTTCACACGTAAAAATATCGTATCTTGTAGCAAGTCTGTTCACAAACGCCCTAGGAAGTAATTGAACAGCAGAGCGATATTAGCTATATAAAAAGAGTCATTCCAGTGATGACAGGACCACTTGTAATTATCAGTGGTAATTTACATTCAAATTTGAAATAGGAAGAAATTTAAAAAAATTTTCAAATGCGAAAATTGACTCCTTAATTAATGACTTGAAGCAAAACTTAAATATCTCTGCAAGTATTTGGGCTAAAGACCCCGGAATACCACAAACGATAGCGCTGGAAAAGATTATTTAAATAGAATATTCAAACCAGTAGATAGTTATAAGCTGCATTTGTATTATAAGTCGAAACAAGAGTCAAAATAATAGCTTGCTTTGGGATGTGCAAAAGAATTGCGGAGAAATAGCGTTTACAAGTTCTACACGCGTAAAAATATCATATCTTGTAACAAGTCTGTTCACAAACTTGCAACAAGATTGTTCGCACTGTTTGTCCCAAGCTGTTGACGAAATGGGACAAATGACTTTTTAACATGTTGTAGCAAACTTGTTGAATTAAAAGACTTGCTACACGGCTCTTCCAACAAGTCTTGTACAAACATCACGGCACGTGCTTACTGCATGTCGGAATCGGTTGTCATGCGGTTGGGAAATGTGACAAAATTCCATCATGATGCCCTTCCACTAAGGTACATTTGACCCTAAAAATCGATTCCTGACATAAAATTGGACCAAGGGTTCAGTCTCACAGCCTTTTTTGCTCGAAATATTATTGTCGGTGATGCGATAATTCATATCATCATGGATGCTCATATAAAAAATCGGCAAAAAACTCGATTTTATCGAAAAGGCTCGATTTTGACGCTAAAGATATCAATCCTGAAAATGTGAACTAAATCACTGTAAGCCGTTTTCGTTTAAATTTTAGGCAATATTTTGTAGATTAGGCCGGTTTTATGTTTATATTGAATGATAAATAAATCGCATGATTTTTAAAGTGAATATCATAGCGAATTGGCAACATATCAATATAAAAAAACAAGTAAACAGTAAATCTTGAAAAGAATACTAATTTGAAGGTAGGTTGAATTATTTAAATCATGGAGCTCCTTAATGGAGCAGAAATAATCCAATATTAAGAAACTTTGCTTGTATGTCAACTAAGTGAGTTTAGGTTAGCTAAGTTACTTATTGATGTCACCATGCAACAAGAATATTAAATCACCATTGTTTGTCGACTTTATTTTCATGAAATGTACGTTATTGATTAGAGTATAGGATTTATCATTATTTGCAAATGTAGTTGTTTTTATCACTACATTTTGGCAGGATAACAACGTCTCTCGTGTAAAGAGTACAACATCAATGAAATACAAGTATAGACAAGTATGAGACATAAAAGAGCCACTCGAGTGATGACAGGACTACTTGTAATTATCAGTGGTAATTAATATCATTGATTCTCAAACTTGGCATGGCAGGAACTGTATAAATAGCTTGACCAAATAGCAGTTTGTTCTGAGAATCGATGAAAAGAAACTAGTAAAGTTAAATATTTCAAAAGCTTAGAGAAGATATAAAAGTGTCGGAAAATTGCGACCGCCAGAACTTTAAAGTTAAAATTAAATCCGCCGTGACATGACAGAAATTTCGAATTTATTAACTGTTGTAAATAATAATAATTTAGGCTGGAGTATTAGTAATATTTAAGACTGAATCACAACTCAAATCACTAATGAAATTCTCATTAAATAACCTACCATTTATGGCACCGTTTCACAAGAAAATATCAAAATTTATTTCATATTATTTCATAAATATCTAGATCAAAATTTTTGTCTACTTTGCAGACTATAGTAACAAGAATCAATACCTAACTATCACAATATAATGATTTAAAAGGCATGCACCAGTGGTTATCTGACATGTTGAAATATTCAACTGATATTTTTTATCATTTCGTGAATAATTAACAAAACATTTACCTTTTTATTTCAAAACTTTTCATTTCGACACTTTTCGTGCACAAAATGCCAGGCAACGAGAAATATCATAAGAAAAAAACCCCAACAAAAAGTGGTCCACGCATTGCTTGGCGGCCGTTAGGACTTACTTCTAGTCAATAAAAAATACCACAACATTCTACAAGAAGCAATTTACTTGTGCTCAATTTCAAGGGGGGGATAATTCATTTCTTTGCTGTATTTTCACAGCCGCCATTTGCGAAATTAGAGATGGCCGTAGCATATGTCTTTGTTTGTGTATTATATCAGTAATGCCAATGGTCCGTTCTTTCTTTCATATTTCACCGTATACACTATATAGTGTCCATATTTCTTTTTCAAACGACAGTATTTCAGGTTTAGGCAACTTGACTTTTCCTTTATTTCGATATAACATGCCAGAGAGCCATTTTTGAATTGCACAATGAACTTTACAAAGATTCTTTATTTTGAAGTGTCCCTTTTTATTGCCGCGGTACGTCTTCTGATTATTATTGTGCAGAGCTCCTTCCATCTAAGACACTTGCTCATGATGTAGTTTAATAAATACGTTGTTGACATCCTGGAAAACTGCCACGATCCACATGTAACCGCACGAAACGCCAAATAAATAATCTTTCCTGCTTCTCTCAGATTGCCACTTTGTTCATAAACATTGCTCTTGAATCGAATTTTTTTTGTGTGATTCTTTCGCTGCTCTTTGAGTAGATATGAATTTTTTTCATTTCAGAAAGCCTCGTACGATATGTCCACGAAACGAGTCTACATGTCTTGAACAATATGTAAATTAATATGTGTCGAAACAAAACGACAATGGCTTTCCAGATGATGCATGTCAACATGAAAATTTTACTGTTCACCAACACATTGGAAGTTCTCAATCAACCCTGCACGCATATACTGTTACATCCCAGAAAATTATTGAGCACAAGAAACATAATTGCAGGATGTTGTGAAGCGAGAAGAAGTAGAACAAAATTTTTAAAACATGCTTTACGTGAGTGACATATCTCATAGCCTGGCCGGTTATTTTTTCAAAATAGAGCAATTTTAACACACGAAGTCCGTATATTTCTTGAACTCGGAATGCATGCGACATGCACGTGTTTCCATCAGAATATCTCAAAATATCGATGAACCACTGTTTTTTGTCAACATTCTGTACGATATCAAAAAATCACTAAAATCTATCTATCTAGTTATCAAAATGTTAACAAAATAGTCATCAAATCAAATTCGTGCATATAGAGATTATTTAACTCTACAGACTATAGCTATAAAAAATGAAAGGATATATGTCTATTACAATTGCTTATAACTATAGCTATTGTCACAAACTTCTACATGGGTCCCTCCAGGTTAAAAGGAATTCCTTGACGAGCAAAAAGGTTACTAACGCTTCCAATTGGGTCAGCAAACTCGTTAGTCGATCGATGAGCCAGAACTGACTTACATGGGGACAGCAATTTCTTGGTGTATTTGCATACATATAATGTCAGAGGTTATTGCTGTGTGCATAATGCATGTATGGATTGATATTTTTTCATAATGCATGGATGGTATGTGCACTGATCGAGATCAGAGGCCTCTCGTGGCAAATAATATATTTAATTTAGTTAAAGTCATTATTTGTTTATAATTATTTAATGTATATAGCAATTATATGCATTATACTTTTATACAGGATGAATAAAAACAACCTTAGTAATCCCAGTGCGCCTACGGTCTTTTTTTTGAAAAGAAGCGCTTCGATTCATCAAATATTCAGTGGTTGCGTTTTTTTATACACCCAAAAAAGATAACTCACAATAGAAAATCGGCTTTTCTAAAAGCAATTTTCCGGCTTTATGACGTGATGTATAATAATCTATTACGATAAGTCAAAATATATAGCTGAGTTATCGAAATAAATTTTAGTGAATTACAATAATAATAATAGCTTACAGTAATAATTGATAGCTTGCAGTACAGTGATTTCGTTACTTTGATAGCTTACAGTACAGTATTTTCGCTCAACTGAAAGGATGAGCTATGCTTAAACTGCTAAATATTTAAATATTTGATGAAATAGCGCAGCTGCGTCTATCGCGGCCGGAAATGAAAGTTTTGTTGTTTTGAAATCAACTAATATTTAATATTTAAATCATTTATATGTTGTTGTATAACAGTGTATTAATGGGAACAGTATTTCAAGCTACAATTTATATCTTCGCGTATAACAAGAGACACTTCGATCATCAATATCTTTGTATGTAGCATTATGATGGCTTCCTCCCAGCATTAACGTACAGAAATACACGTATTTGGGCTTCTAAATCACGTTTACTAGAATTAACACGAAGTTCGAACAATTGAAATGCAGATATAGATTAACGGAAAAAAAATTCCTTGTCGATATTTATATTAATTATGTATTACGCGAATCGGCCGATAGTTCAAAATTCTACTTACAACTTGTATTGAGCTATTAGCTGTTCCTTCGCCATTTCAAACGAAATGAACTTCCAAAAGATATAAGGTGTCTCTGGTGTTGCTCCATGTTGCTCCGCGAGTTCCTTCCAGAAGGTTGCCATAAACCACTTCCAATACATTGATTGTTTTCTTGAAGTATCTCCAGTGATTTTCCAGGATTTGTAATAACTATCGACCTCACGGTAATCCTTAAAACGGTACAGTTTTCCGGGTGACTCGATGATTCCAAAGCTGTCATCTCCAAAGACTTCCTCTGTGCAAATACCTGTGAATAAGCTTTTCGTCTTTGAATCCTTCATACCAAAAATTCCCATCGGACGATGACAAAGCGTGAAGTGCGTTTCATTTGTGGTGTTTGGATGACTTTCATCACACAAAGCATTGCAAAATGGGCAAGAACGTTCACAAGCAAACATGCTTTTGAACACCACTTCATGCAGTGACGGATTCCATTTTCGAAAGATGGCATAATTAACTCCATGAGTGATCATAGATTCTATATGCGCGGTTAAACAATCGTAAACTGTTAATTGGAACACGTCAATTTCATCCAGATCTTCAATGACGACTGCAACAAACATTTCATTCTTGAGCACGAGTGTTTTACATTCCTCGACAAATTGCTGAATCCAAAAAGTCAGTTTCGCGTTCTCAGTAGTACTTGCTTTCCTGTTTGCGTGTTCAAAGGCATCGATGACTTTTTCTCTGATCTTGTTGATTTGTCTTTCGAAAAGCGTGTTGACAAAAGGCAGGTTTTCATTCAGACAGTAGTTCTCAATTGCTTCCATTAATTTCGCTTTCAAAATTTAACTTGATCTTCAAGATAAGGAATGTACGACTCAAACTTGCCTTTGTCTCCCAGTTCAATAAGGACTCTTGCATGGAATCGACCTTTGTTCTGGTACTCTCCTCTCTTCAATAATTCTTTTGCCACGGAAAGACCCATGTTAGACTCTAGTTCCGATTCAATTTTGCTTTGCAATTACATCAATGAACAAACAAGCAGCCAACTCCTGTTTTGCCTTCTTGGAAATATTTTCAAAATAGTTTTGTAACACTGGTCGCAGGTTTTTTTCAAGGTTACCTCTTATGTCTCGTTCTTTTAAAAAGCGCATCTCCATTTCTTCAAAGAGTTGGTACGACTGTGCGAAAGTATAGAGTAATATATCGAATGTTAAAGAAATTTTAAATTTGAAGTGATATTTCATGGTTTCATCATCTATGGTGGTAACAACAATTTGGTACATCGCTCAAGGTAACTGCGAGTAAACCTAACACCTGATTCTGACTCTTTTTTGCTAAATTCAAGAGCCATCTTAATAACATCTTTCTTGATTGTTCTAGCATGACGAAGACATTGTCTTCGAATCCATTCTTCGTCGTAGAGAAACTTTTTAAAAATGTCTATGTTGTATGAAAGATCATCGCTGACTATGTTAGGTTCAATACTAAATGACAAGACGGTGTTTTTGTTTTCTAATTTCTCTTCACCTAGAGCAGAGTTTTTCTCCCGAATGAAACTCATCATTTCATTGTTGATGTCAATTTTCTCCTCCTGTGACGGTGGAACTTCCGCAATCCATAACTGCCATTTTTCTTCAAATAACTCCCTCAAATTTTTCTTCTCTTTGAAGTCGGGAAATGAGCAAGTAAGGCTTTAGCTTCTTCCACGATTTGCTCTTCATAGACTACTTGTTTTTCTTCTACATCTTCAAGTTTCTGCAAATACACAAAGGCTCTTTCGCAATCTTTCGTCACCTGTTCCACTTGCATTTCTCTTTCCTTCGTTATTTTCTCGCTTATCTCTCTTCTCCACTTATCAAGACTCGTCTTATCTTCATTGTTTTCAAAAAAGGCATCCATTGCTTCTTCCATATCCTTTTCAAGCTTTTCTCCCGTATCACTTATCTCTCTCTGAATCTCATTCCATTTCCTCTCCCGTTCTTCACGCTTTGAGCATCTTTTTAGAGTTACATTAATTTCTCCTTTAAGTTTGGCCATTCCATCAACCATCACAGTCAGAGAGGTCTTTGAATATTCTTCGTTCAAGGATCTCCGAGCCCTAAGTTCAATCGTATTCCGAAAACTAAATATGAAATGCTCTTTTAAAATTGCTTCCCAAAGATCAGAGACTCTCTTTCGAAAATAAGCCAGTGAATAATGGGTACTTCTTTCAAGCACATCAGGTCAATGATGGCTTGTTTGATTTTCTGAACACTTCTTCCGTATGAGGGGTTTACCGGAGCCATTGGTGATTTCCTATCAGCAGGGTTGGCAAATAAAACACGTCTTTTTTTTCATCAAATGAAATGATATCATTAAATTTGGTAAATTTATTCTCGCACTTTTCCTGACTTGCCGCAATCAATGTCATTTCATCCAGATTTCTTGAAATTCAAACGGTGACAACCTAATATATCTTCAGCATCAACTGCAACAACATTTTGATGGACAATCAGACACGATTTCTTCTTCTCCTCCTCTACAAGCTTCATTTTCACGAAAGCAGACACAGCCATGCCCAAGAAGTCTTTTATTTCGTTATGACTTTCACCGTAGATATTCACAATAGTCACATCAGCCAAACCAATAACGAAGGTTGCTAACTCATTGTCGTGTTGTCGTAATAGGGGATCCGAGTTTCCTATTAGACCTTCAGTATCAACAACCAACACATAATCAAATTTTGAATCAGACTTGAGGGAGTCACTAACATGAAGAAGACTCGCAAACACACCGCGAGTACATCTACCAGCACTGGCTGGAAAATCTAAACCGAACATTGTGTTTAACATTGTCGACTTACCTGAACTTTGAATTCCTAGAACAGAAATGATGAAAATTGGCATTTTTTGTCTTGTCTTGAAGTTTACCATATACAGCATCGAACCATCGCAGTGGAATGTAAAAGGAATCTCCATCCAGTATCTCCAGAGGTTGCCCAGAAAGCAACATGTCTGCAGCAGCACCTGCAGTCGTTTGTAGAGATATTTGTGAGCTGGTATAGCTGCGCTAGTTCCCGGATGATGTGCTCTAAACCAAACGAGAACTTTGGTTCATCTATTTGTTTTGATTGTTCAGCCCGTGACGTGGCGTGAATCTCCAATTTTTGCTTTTGATCATCTCGAAACGAACAGGTTTTGAGCTCCAGAGACATCTTGTCCAACTGCTGCTTTAATTTATTCAAGGCGTTATTTCGTTCCCGTCCATTCATCGTTGCAATCAAATTAAGACAGTAAGAATCTTTCGTCTAAGTCACTGAAAGATGCTATTTTAGCCTTTTTCGCATTCTTCAATCTTTTGAAATACTTCGTCATTCCTGGAAGATTTTGGACGATGCAATTCGCGATCCAACTTCGCCAGTTCTGGAATATGCGTTTGTAACTTCATAAGAGTTTTAGCTTCTTTGATGCCCATTTGCAACCAGCTGTCCACAGTTTTCCAGAAGTTTGGATCTGATTGGTCGTAATCAAGTGAGATACCGTGTCCACCAGCGACAAGCAAGGTTCACTAAAGGTACTGCTTTCACCCCTTGGATAGCCTTTTGGATAGCTGCTCGGATTTTATCCAAAAGCTTGTGATCATTGAACTTGCTGTCGTTCATTACCAAGGAAAGCTTATCGCTGTGTTTACTTTTTAAATCTTTGAAATAATTCTTCGTCTGTGCCTGTTTCTGTTTCTGTGTTGCTTCCGGAAAGATGAGATAAATCTTTACTACTTCGCTTTGTGTTGCTTTATTCAAGACAGCCATCGTGGTTTCATCCGGACACTGCGAGGTTAGTACTATACATAACACGGACGAGATCTTGAGAAGGAAATTTAATTGCTTTTCAAAATCTCTGGCGTCTCCTCGAAGGTTTAAAAAGCAAATTTCATTTTGCAATTTTTGTCCCTGTCCACTACTTGGAAGATACCAGCTCAATTCAACCAATCCACCGATCACTTTACGCTCGACGTCACCACCCTTCATTTCTCTGTGAAAAAAAAAGTCGTGATGATTGCTTCCATCACTCATAATTTTATTAATTAAGAATGATTTTGACTTGGCAATTTCGCCGATGCGGATGAAGGAAACGATTGGAAATGGATGCTCTGTCGCAAACACTTCGTACACGCTTTTATTTTCATTAGAACCAGTCTTCCAAGACTTCGTGATGCTCTCCAAAGCTGATAGAAACATTGTGACGTTCTCCGTAGGCGCTGCCAGGTCAGGCACAAGAAACGGAACGCTAAGCTGACATGTAGACATTCTATTGGCAAGATAACGTCGTAAAGAGTTATCGGAACAACGAAAAGTACCGATTAAGGCATCCATCGAATTCACAGCTACAATATCCTCGTCATCTACATCCTCATCGTCATCTGAATTATAGGAATTTCTAGCGTTATCTTCATTTGAGTTTAAAGATTTTAATTTAAGTTCACGCAAAGTGTAATCTGCTATCATGAGTTTACTAAAAATATATTCAGGTATGATCTGAAGACGTTAATTGATCATCCATTGGTATGGTTATCGATTTTTCGAGCATGTTTTAAAGAATATTTTCGATGAGGCCTCAGGTTACTATCAGTGGAGGATTGTGACAGTGTGTTGTGTGTTTGCATCCTGTGTGTTTGTGATCTCAGGTGCATGCGCAGTAGCTGCGGTGATTGTATTATTGGATTGACATGTTTGTTCTGGTTGATCCACTTGCGCTGTTGAAGCCAGAAGACCCTCCTGGCCAGGAATATTATTGTTTTACTACGGTGAAGAAACAAAAATGGAATTTTAAACTTTGTTTCATCAGTAAGCAAATACATTAGCCTCGTTTCCCAAGTCTTTAATAACAATATATTAAAGACGCATTATCTTAAATTCTCAATGATATACTTAATTCTCGAAATATTTGGTAAACAAAGTTTAAAGATGACAAAATGATTAAATATTAACCTCAATAACTTTTTATCACAAGTTATATCAGGCCACAAAACGTGCAACTTCGAAGAGGTAAACTATCGCATCCGTTCGTTCCATGACCGGAACTATATATTTATAATATATTTTATAAACTCTTACTTCCCCAGAATAGTTAAGTCCGGTCCATGTGTTTACATGGTATTTTACATTTCTGTAGTATTCAAAAGGGGAGGAATGTATTCAAAAGAGGAGGATTTTTTTGGGGGGGAGGGTTCTATCTGTACGTCATGCCTGTATATTCATATCTATATTTATGTGACAAATTCTAATAGACAATAATAAACAATAAGATTTCATTATTTTGCTTTGCATGGTCGTACATGCACAACCATTTTCCAAAAGTCGCATGTTTTAACAACAATTAATTAACAATTATTTTCAGCTGACATTGCCAGTCTTCTAATCAGATATAAAAATGCTAGAGATCAAGTGAGAACGAGTTCCTTGGGATAAATTCGCAATAAAAGCAAAAAAATGCTCTATTATTCCTTCCAGCAATTGGTAGGCAAAACCGCTTTTGAATGACAAATTAATTAGGCATTTAGGAAATTTTTAAGCGCTATAGCTATAAAAAATTTACAGCTCATACCACTCTTTGAATCACTGGTATGCCCAATTTCCAAATACTCTGTAGAAAGTGAGTGTTCAGGATCTCTCTGAACGTTTTTCTTTTTGTGTACTGCAAAATATTGAAATAACTCAAAATCAGTGGGCAAAATTGGAAACACAACATGGGAAAAAAGTAGGGGGAGTTTTTGAATCAGGAAATAATCGTTCTGTAAGGTACACTTTACATCCACCGTTGAGGTTTAGGCAGATTATTGTCACGAAAAATGATACTTATAAATATAGGCGAATTGGCTGTATATGGAATCAAACGGGCAAGTAGGAAATGCATGATCAGTACTATATGACAGAATCTTCATTCTTTACTTCTATAGTTAGGTATTGGACACACTCAGCAATTTTAACGAAGAAACTATTCCTGATGTTTCGATTAATGTTATGTGGTTATTGTGAATTGGTGATTGGTTATTGTGAATATTCAAAAGTTGTCCTCTATTAGACATTATTATCTACGTCAATTTATTGAAGACTATTACAAGAAGCACCACTCAACCTCCAAGCAGCTGGTATAGAAGTAAGGCTACCATCAGCCGCACACACCGAGTTGGCTTCTACTCTCGTTCCCCGAGAAAGACCCCTATGCTAAAGCCAAGACACATCAAAGCTTGCCTGAAATTTGCGCAATAGCATGTCGATGAAGCAGCTAGATTTGGGGAAAAAATCCTGTGGTCGCGGATGAGACGAAAATGGAGCTATTTGCATGGAGGGAACAGCTAGTGCATGGCATGTTTAGAAAAAGAACGGTACGGCGAAACCCGATGCCAACTATGAAACACGGCAGGGGGAGCATCATGCTCTGGGGATGTTTTTCATTTAGTGGTACAGGTAACCTTCATGTCATTGAAGGAAAAATGGATAGTATACAATGTACCATGAGATATCGCTTAAAAGCATGGCTCCTGTAACTACCAAAAAGCTTAGGTTATCAAGAGGTTGGATCAACGATCCAAAATACACAGCAGTGAAAACAAAGGAGTGGTTTCAAGGAAAAAGAGTCAGGGTTTTGGAGTGGCCGAATCAATCACCTGACCTTAATCCAATTGAACATATCTGGAAACATGTAAAAATTCAAGTTCATGCAAAAAACCCACAAATATGAAAGAACTTAAGAAAGAACTTATTTTTTCAACAGGAGTGGGAGAAAATTTCGGGTGATTTTTGCAAGAAACGTATTTCAACCTACCCTAAACGTATGGCGGCGGTTATTGCATGCAAACAAAGAGCATATGTTACAAGATATTAAACTTTGTCTTTCAGAATCTGTCTAATACTTTTGAGTTTTCATTCTGAGGAAGAATTTCATTGTTTGTTTTGCAATTTCAGAAAAATAAAACAAAATGAAACAAAATAAAACAAAATTAAACAAAATTAAACAAAATGAAACAAAACGAAATGAAACTTTGACATCACCTCGCCTTTAGCAAAAAATTGTAAAATTTCTCGTACTCTACCTTTTCCATTGTCTCCATTTCTTGGAACCTCAAATTCACTAATTGAAGAATAATTCTCAGAATCGATATTCTCGGGTTTCCCAGAATTTTTTGCGTGCACACACTTTGCACATTCCCTTGGTTTCTTTCGTAGATTTTCATCTTCTGATTTCTCCATAGTACTAAAAATATAAATAACATTTATGTACTTCCCAAAAAATTTTATTTACTTTCCCAAGCAATAACACAACGGTCAAACGAAATATGGCCAACAAATTCATACTCAAAAACGAATGAAAAACAGCCAACAAACATATACTCAAAAACCCAGCGAGTACGAGCGCTGGCTGATGGCGTAGGCTAAGCAAACAACACGCGAGAATGACGAATCTCGTGCTTGTAGTCACTTCTAAAACTCCCTAATAACAAGGGGGTCTGTTAATGTTGTAGTCAGTACAAAAAAACATAGAGATGTAAATATTTACCGATCATGTACACTGTATGATAAGTCTCACAAAATTAATGTTGCAAATCTGCAGTTAATAAGTTTAAGGTTAGGTCTATGCCAAAATGCAGAACTTATTTACCTAAACTGAGTAACCAGCGTTGCCCAAATAATTAGTTTTGAATTCCCACGGGAAAGAGACCAATGAGAATGTAGCCCGAAATGTTTGCTTATGACATAACGAAGACAATATGCCGCCGGTATATAAATTATTATTGCTATTATAAGAAAATGGAATGGGTTATAATTTGTGCGAGAAAATACATGTCAATCAGTAACTTAATGCGTCAGTCGTCACTAACTTAATGCATGAGTTGAATCAAAAATGCGAAGAGAAATTACATAATGCACAACGCTAGACGTCTCTGCAAAAGGCTGCAGCGTTCTTCGTAAAGGCACTTGCAAATTTAGGTGCGATGTTATGCGCGATTTTCGTCTTTTGGTAGATGTTAACGAGTGACTAGTTACGAATGGTCCGATTTTTTCGAAGAGCATTTATTCGAACATGTGTAACTAACTCACTCATTCACATCCGTGAAAAGAAGAAAATTGCACATAAAATCACAGCAAAAATCGCAAGTGGAAACCAGTCTTAAACCCTGGTCAAACGAGAATGTTAGTTGATGAGAGTTGAGAAGCGAGAGTTCACACGAGAGTTTTCAAACTCTCGATGCGACGGTCAAACGAGAATGAGAGTTGATGAGAGTTGAGAACGAGAGTTGATTATTATTTAACTCTCATCAACTCTCATCAACTCTCATCAAAATTTGAACCAGTTCAAAGTCGATGAGAGTTGATGAGAGTGCACGAGAGTGTATGAGAGTTTATGTTTTCTAAAGAACGAAGCTATGCTATTGAAATAGAAATGTATCGTAAAGTTTGGCCACTGAAAATCATTCTTGCGAGGAGCTGGGACCCTACCCACTATAGTATTAAGAATCCAATATCAACTTGTTTTACATTCATACCGCTATCACATCGTTTATCTATAATAGTGTCTGAAATGTATATCTGTATCGTGAAAGAGGAATAGTGACAGTATTTCTTTACGACGAGGTCGTGACATAAAATACAGGCGCTCGCGTTGGAAAGCAAATTTTAAGTGTTATGCATATGGGCTGTAACATTGTTTACCAAAAAGAGCCTATTATTTTTATCTCTGTTGTAAACTGTTGAAATAACGAAAGTATAACTTCCGTTCGTATCGTAGATTTGGTGTTCCTAAACTCGCTATATTTCATCTTAACCTCGCTTTATGTCGCAAAGTACCCCAATTGTTTTTGGCATTTGAAGAGCTATTGGGAATTCTTATTTTACCTCGTGACAATCGCCGCTGCTCTTTCTTCTACTTCTTCAATGTTTCTTATTTCAACCACCAATTCTTCCGTTTCAATGCCAATATCCAAAAACTCCTTTTCCAAGCGTTCTTTTATTCTACCCGATTTAAAATCGTCTAAAACTTCCAGGAATCTTTTGCCCGTGAAACATTGCAGTGCAACATGAAGCTTTCCTGGTAGGATGTCGCTGACTTCCTGGTCTTCTCTCTCCCCACCAAGGCCTTTATCAATAGCCCCCTTCATTGTCAGTTTAAGTTGACGTGATTTATACTGGTATATCGCATATATTCCGCTTAGTGTGACCACAGTTCCTGCTATCACGGTAGAAGTCACTTTGTCGGCGTGGATAGTAAACTGGAAAACACCACTAATGCTACGCGAACATGTAGCACATACATGCTGTCCTTCGAATACTGCTGCCATGAGAATGCCTTTGCCTGGATTTAAAAATAAATAAATTATAAACCCTGTTAAAATCCTCTTTAAATTAATCGCAAAAGGAAATTTCCCATAAGACCTCTACGCCAGCCCATCGTAAAGAATTCTACGTCAAAATGCTATATAGCCTAGGTGCATATCCAACGAACTCACGTACTCTACACGAGCAGACCTTTATAATTGTATATATTTTTTAAGGAAAGCTTCAAACTTCTGTTGGCAGCGCGTAAAATGTCTTACGTTATCACGAAATAAGAACAATGGCTAGATTTCCTGTTTTATAGGCGCAGTAAGATTTAGGGGAAAAAACTATATGACTTGCAATAATGATTCTCTGTTATAACAGCCGACGTAAAAATGCAACATGTACACCTTTCCAATGCAAGGATGAACAATCAACAATTGTTTGTAATAGGCATGCAGCTATATACTGTTTTAAAATCATTATTCGTGCAATTCATCTTATTTTCAGCTCTTCGATGAAACTTATATTGCCTGTATAAGTAAATTCACAAACCCCTGTTTAATTAAATATTGTGATATAAACACAACCAAAATGGAGCAAGTTCCGTAGTATTGTTGGCATAGAATGAAAATTTGAGTAATTATCCTCATACGTTTGGAAACAGACTTTTTTCATCGAATGTTTATCGGTAGTCTTGATGACAATTGTTCTACTAACACGCAATAATGTTCTGTATCGATAAAATACGAACGAAAATAGTTCTAGGGTGTTGAAAGAGGTAAAAAAATGACGGAATACCAAGCGTAATGGTAATATTTACCGTCAAGGATCTATGTCACTGCCTAGAATTTCGACATTGGCTAAAGCGCGTTTTCCACTAGGCAGGCGAATTTATTCGCGCGACGCAAAGCGATATCTGAAATCCCGTGATGTGATTCGTTTGGGAAAAAATTGCCGCAAGATAGTACAATCACTTCCTACTTTTTATCTGATCCGCGAATAAATTCTGGTGTAGTGGAAAACAGTCTTAAATGGCAGCAAAACATTGAGCATATTAGCAGCAAGCAATGTGGAGTGCTTTGGGAAGAAAACATAATTTGGAATATAGACAGCAAAAGTTGCAAAACATTGTGGAATATTAGCAAAAAAAGCTTATTTGTTTTGAAAATCTTAAAATGACGTCCAGCGCATTATGACACGTCAGTCAAATCAAGGTCACGTGTGGCGTTCGAGTAACTATCGTCACCAGACGACTTCTCGAAACGACTAAAAATAAATTTGACCTTTACATATCGCGGACTTGACAAACAAATGTTTTTACTTGGGCATCATTGCATGTCCAGCCGTATGTCGACAAACGGACCAGACATTCAATCCGAACTAAACGCGGTATTTTATTTGATGTAAGGCTAGTTTCCACTCAGGAAAATTCTCCTTTGGATCGGATAGGACAGGAAAGTTTCCTTTGTATAAACGCCACTTGAGAACTCACCGACAAAGAAAACTTTCCTGTCCGTTCCGATCCAAAGGAGATTTTTCCTGAGTGGAAACTAGCCTTTAATCACATCAAAAGCACTCGTCTTCATAGAGATTATAAATAACACTAGAGGGGGCATTGGTATCGGAAACATCAGTCGAAAAAGGGAGCGCGATAATGGGGGCAAATTCAAGTCCCGGATGCTAAGCCAAGCGCTGATTGGCTAGATCAATGCCTCCTTAGCAACCACGTTAGCAACAATTTTAAAAAAATTATATTCGTTATTTAGGTCGCTTTGCCGGTTTTTTAAGGAAAAACAGTGCTTTTTGAAACTGGTTTTATTAATTTAGACATCCTGAGACGATATTTTAGGCAAAAAACATTTAGAAATAAAAAAACTCGTTAAAAACGACATATTTTGGCCTCGGACATCATGAATGAGTGAACATCCGGGACTTGGATTTGCCCCCATTAACGCGCTCCCCAATTTCTCCTCGATGACTCCTCTAGTTTTATTTATAATCTCTATGCTCGTCTTCCCGTGTCAATTTCCCGCACGTGCATGTACGTACTAAATATATGCACTACTAACGAGTCTAGTGTTTTTGAATAGAAAATTTCCTTTACTAAAATAATGACTGCTAATATATCAGTATGGCAGGTATCGAAGTGGTGCCGCAGTTACGAATTCGAAAGATGTGGTATGCAAACGCACGATAAAATCCCGTGGTAGCACATATTTTGAACTAATTAGCATCCATTGTGGTACAACAACTGCCTAAATTAGACAAAATACTTCTCGACGTTTCGACCTGAGGGCCTTCGTGATATTTTGAACTGCTAAGCCCTCGCGGTTGTGATTAGATGCAAATCGAAAGTTCCCTTTCGAAGGACTGGAACTTCACATTTTTCTGCAAAAGCACCCAATTATACTCTAGGCTGATTTGCGCATTAGTATTATGTACACACAGCTAAATAGATATGAGGAGAAAGGGTCGTACAGAGTCTATATATACGATAATGTAGAAGCGGTTATCAAAATACTCACACACAATGCACCTCTCTTCGTCTAAATTCCTCTCACCATTTCATTTTAGTTGCACAATTAAATAGTTACATCCAAGCTGTGGCCGTTGATATTGATAAGATGGCCGTAGTTAAAACATTTTCCGAGGATTTTCGCGAAAATTTATTATCGTCTATAAATATGCGACGTCTATATTATTAGTACTGCTGTGCCGTCGATTCCTTTCGTTTAGTGAAACCCAAAACCGGTCTTGAAATTCGATACCGACACAAAAATCACACACGAGCCTGTTGTCAGTGATTTGATTGTTAAATTTTCATTTTTGGATACGTATGCCCAATATAAAAAAAATTGTGAAAGAAACAGTGAAACACAAACAAAACTACAAAAGTGTTGCTCCCTAAATATATCATGCGATCTGATTAGGAGGACCAGTCCTTAATTCCTTGGGGAAAACCCGCGCGCGGGACATCACGAATGGGGCGCGCAGCAGTTTCCACGCACGCATCGCGCGACCGCTGAGGATGCCAAAGCGCCTGGATCCGAAGTTACAATCGATCGAAGATAAACGATGGATCACGTTTACGAACTTCTTGAATATCTGTGACACATTAACTCTATATCAATAATTATTAAATTCTAAAGATAATGGTAACCTTGCATACGTCCATCACAAATACATGTTAAAAGTTGGTCAGTTGATATAGCTTTTGATTAAAGAACTTCCAGCTGATCTGGGTATAAAGCTCAACCAATCAGAAGCCAGATCTTCGACAAAACTGAATTATCATTTCCTTCGATGCATATGACTTCGACACTCGAAAATATCAAGTAATTTTATTGTATTTATGTGAAAACACGTTTATTTTTTTCCCAACTGCAAATTAGAATTTAAATTTTTCAACCTTTATACTATGGGAGAATAAGGACAAATAACACCAGAAACATGATAACTCAGTTTTGTCGAGACGCTTTATGACGTCATGATCTCAGATCAGCTGGTTGTATTTTTATTTACTTTTTGCCCTGCTGGAAACCGACGCCCCATTGGTAAATCAAGAAAACTTTCACTGGAAACAAATTAGGCATAGTCATAGGCATTTTCAAATTTCAAGACATTTTTAATTCAACACAACAACGATGGCGCCACGGAACCGAAACTCAATATGTAAAAGCAGGTACTTACGGCATTCAACGAATATCTGAAACATTCCTCTCCAACTTGCTTAAACTTGCTATACTGAATCGCTCGCGGCGCCACACATTGGGAATTATGGCTTCGCGCTTAACAGTTTAACACTTTAAGGGGCCGTTTACATGAGCCCGGTTACCCGAGATTCAACGAAGCGTGAGATGATTTTGAGGTATTGAAATAAGCAAATAACATGATCATGGCAGTCGTATAATCACCACAACAATAGCATGTGCTTGTTTTGTGTCATAAAGACTTATTTCAATACCTCAAAGTCATCTCACGCTTCGTTGAATCTCGTGAGTGTCGTGAACAAGTCAAGGTGGCTGATGTTATAGAATATTTCTATACGTGTGCAGTCAACAATGACAGATTTGAATACAGGAATGAAAACGAATTTACATCCCGACAATTTCTCATCGGCGAAAATGACATGTTCACGCGACAATTACGACTAAATGGAAACCAGACTTAAGAAAACTCCGGGAGAATATACTTTAATTCAACATTCGTCTTCTCCCAGTGGTGACTCGGTTAACGACGGTATTGCCCAAGAGCATACCACTGTACACTACGTTAGAGTGGACGATGCTATCGAAATGATCAAGCGGTTAGGGCGCGGGTGTTTTTTGGCTAAAACAGTCGAGATATTAACAGCGCATTTCGCATTATTCCCATCAGACCGGCCGATTACGTTCTGTTCCGAATCCAGTTTGCAGCCTTCATCGATTCCTACTTTCAGCTGGGCCTGGAAATTCTCCAGTTTATTTTCGTCTGCGGTATTGCCGCCTAATTTGGTGAATCTGCACATGTCGCCTTTGAATAATTTGCGAATTGCCCCATCGAAAGCCAGCCTGCATGTGTAAATATTTCTAATTTACGCATTGTGACATAAGTGACTATATAAGTATATCAAGGTTTCTATTTCCTCTTTAAGACATACCTAACTTAGGAATTAATATTAAAGCTCTCTTTTTAAACATATGCTCAGAGCTACTGGTCTTGGGCTTATTCTAGATCACGTATATAGTTTACCTTTTCCGTTTGGAATATAGAATTTAAAAACTCAACCTTAAAAATCCGGCTTTCACAATGTTAAAAATTCGGTCATCGCTCTCGAAGCGGACTAAAATTGTTGCTATTTCTTTAAATGAGATATGTCAGTGTCCTAATTGACAGTGGCATCGCCAGCATCATTAAGTGGTGTGCAAATATTTATATATTTATGTTCACACAGGGTAAAAACAATCAATTTGAAAAGAAATTAATAATGTAAAAAACGGATATATATATATGAATTTAGTATTCTCGCACAAGTGAATATAACAAATCCTACATTCTGAATGGTCAAATCGGACGTATTGCTCTGTAAGAAACGCGAAATTTTAAGATGGCGCCGCTAGCCGTTTTGTGGACGTTTCTTACAAAGATATAAGCGAACAAGTGCAGTTCTTGTATCAATTCACTTGTGCAAAAATACTAAAACAATTATTCACCTTAGGCTCGGTGATTATCGGGGAATATTCACCTCGACTTTGTCTCGGGAATATTCTCCTCGACTTCGTCTCGGGAATATTCTCCTCGACTTTGTCTCGGGGAATATTCTCCTCGACTTTGTCTCGGGGAATATTCTCCTCGACTTTGTCTCGGGAATATTCTCCTCGACTTTGTCTCGGGGAATATTCTCCTCGACTTTGTCTCGGGAATATTCTCCTCGACTTCGTCTCGGGAATATTCTCGGATAATCACCTCGCCTTAATTCGGCGAATAATTGGTAAATGTCCACCCTACACGCGTAAAAATCATCATGTTGATGCAAGTTGTTAAAAACTGGAGTGAACAATGTTGTGCTGCACCCTGTGAACAGTATTGTTAACAATGTTGTTGAAGCTTGTTGAATCATGAACGTTGTTGCAACTTGTTATAACAACATTGCATCAACATTGATGATTCAACAGGCTTCAACAACATTGTTAACTTACTGTTACCAGGGTGCAGCACAACATTGTTCACTCCTGATGCGACCTGATCAATTTTTGACCGTGTACTTATAATGCTGGCTTTCTCTCCAGTGAGGATTCAATATTCATGATATGCACACATAAGCATTCACAATCCCGCATGACATCAATGAATCCAGACAATATTGCCGGGAGAAGCTAAACTTTAATATCTCTGCAAGTATTTGGGCTAAAGACCCCTGAATACCACAAAATGATAGCGCTTGAAAAGATTATTTAAATAGTACATTCAAACCAGCAGATAGTTATAAGCTGCAATTGTATTATAAGTCAAAACAAGAGTAAAAATTATAGGTTGCTTTGTTATCTCAAATTACTCACCCATATATAGCAGCCATATACTTTAGAGATTCCGGATTTTTTCGCTTTCCTTGTTCTGTTTTGTCTTCAAAATGTCTGAATTTCACACGTATTATCATTCTGTTACAATTCCGAGTAATTTTTGGAGTAGGATGTGCAAAGATTCGAAGAAATAGCGTTTTATAAGTTCTAAGCGATAATCGTTGCTAAACGCGTTCTTACTGCGTGAGTGCTTATACTGCATGCTCGCAATGTTGTCATGCGGTTGGAAAATGTGATAAAACTCCATGCATATATGATTCCCTCCCCCTAGAGTAAATTTGACCTGACGTAAAATTGGAACAAGGAGTCAGTTTTTCGGCTTTTTTTGCCCGAAATATTATTGTCAGTGATGCGATAATTCATATCATCAATATATAAAAAATCGGCAAAAATCTTCTAAAGGCTCAATCTTGACGCTAAAGATATCAAAATAATCCTGAAAATGTGAACTAAATCACTGTAACCCGTTTTCGTTTGCGTTTTGGTTAATATTTTATAGATTAGGCCGGTTTGATGTGTAATATTGAATAATAATGCAGTTGTTTTTATCACTATACAAGATATATAGCAACGCCTCTCATGTAAAGAGTACATAACAATGAAATACAAGTATAGACAAGTATAGACATAATGAGAGTCACTCGAGTGATGACAGGAATACTTCAATTATCCGGGTGATTATGCATAAAAATTTGAAATGGGAAGAAATTTAAAACATTTTTAATTCAAATGCGAGAACGGTCTTTAATAGCGTTTTATAAGTTCTTCACACGTAAAAATATCGTATCTTGTAGCAAGTCTGTTCACAAACGCCCTAGGGAAGTAATTGAACAGCAGAGCGATATTAGCTACATAAAAAGAGTCATTCAAGTGATGACAGGACCACTTGTAATTATCAGTGGTAATTATGCATTCAAATTTGAAATAGGAAGAAATTTAAAAAATTTTTCAAATGCGAAAATTGACTCCTTAATTAATGACTTGAAGCAAAACTTAAATATCTCTGCAAGTATTTGGGCTAAAGACCCCGGAATGCAACAAAACGATAGCGCTTGAAAAGATTATTTAAATAGTATATTCAAACCAGTAGATAGTTATAAGCTGCATTTGTATCATAAGTCAAAACAAGAGTCAAAATAATAGCTTGCTTTGGGATGTGCAAAAGAATCGCGGAGAAATAGCGTTTTACAAGTTCTACACGCGTAAAAATATCAAATCTTGTAGCAAGTCTGTTCACAAACTTGCAACAAGATTTGTTTGCACTGTTTGTCTCAAGCTGTTGACGAAATGGGACAAATGACTTTTTAACATGTTGTAGCAAACTATTCTAAGTGCAGTCAAGCGTAACATCAGGTATATAAGACTGAGATCTTAGTAAATCAGGGTCAGTTGTTAAACGCGGATCCAGGAACGGAGTTGAGAATGCATGCTTACGTGCGGAGGGGGTTTTCCTGCATGCAACGTGGTAGCATTCTTTAATAACAAATTTACGACATGGTAATGGAGAATAATTGAACTTCATATATCTTGTATGATAAGTAAAGGCGTGGAATGTTAATCTTTTTTTTTGTTTTGTTTAACTCGTTTGAGGTTATTCACACGAATCGGTACTTCCCACCTCCCCACCCAACGTGGGATCCTCTCGTCCTGCGCGCCTCGGCTCACGGGCTCGCATTTCCCGTAACTCTATCTCCCGTGAGCTGATGTTAGCAGGAATGCAGTT